ATCGCCGACGAATTGAGAGGGTTCGTACTCGTCGTCCGAGCTGCCCATTGTAAGCCTTATGTTCACCTGAAAAGATAGGTTAATAGTTATGTGCTATCCAACTAAGTTTTTGAATCTCACTACAATTTCTCTTCTTTCGTCAAGCCGCTATTGATATACGGGTGTACGGGAGGCGGCACGGATACTTAACAAGTTTCAGCCGCACCATGTGCCTGCGGGTTGGGACCATGTGAGCCCATATGTATTCAATGTCGGTAGCCGATATTGTATGGACATGAATGAGGGACAGTAAAGGGGTCGATCGCTTCGATATGAAAACCATAAGGTCATGGTATGGGGAAAGGGTCGTACGTGGTATGGCGCCAATATGGGCGCTGCCTATCGGCTACATGCGGCGCTGACATGAACCTTATACCGGTGACTATATGCGGACCATACTGTCCCCCTTCCATATCAGTGGCATATCTGAAGTCGCCCGGTGGTGTACTTAGCTCCTTTTCTCGAGCATCACGCTTTTTGGTGCACGTGCTGGCCGTTGTTTGTCCACGTTTACAAGGCGTCAACGCGACGCGTCGCGAACGCGGGTCCTCGCTCGCTCACCTGTACACGATCACGACGCGTCTCGCGACTCCCGCACATACCATGGCTAAGCGTCGAGCCGTCGCTGAATCCGACGACGAAAGCGGCTCGGAGCACTACTCCAAGCGCTCACGGACCGCAGACAACAGCGAAGTGGAGGAGGAGGTGCAGCAGCGAGCCACCCATCGCCGCAGTGACAAAGGGAAGGGGAAGGAACGTGCGCGGACCGCGGGGAGCGACTTGGAGGAGGAAGATGATGGCGATGACCTTGGGGGCGTTGCGGAGCCTGATGAGGACGAGGAGAAGAAGTTTGAGGAGGAGCACGAGGAGAGGATCCGGGAGCGGCTCATGAACAAGTCGAAGACGCAGGGGGTGAGTGCGTTCCGTACTTCTGGGACAGGGTGGGAGTTGGATCGAGGCTTACATGTTTCTTGTGCTCATGTAGGGTATTGCGGAGATGGGCATCATTGAGTCGTTGGAGATGACCCAATTCATGTGCCACAAGTACTTGACATTCTCCCTGGGTCCCCAGATTAACTTCATTATCGGTAAGTTCACGCATGCCTGACGTGTGCTATGTATGTAACTTGTGTCGGCCTTACAGGACACAACGGAAGTGAGTGCTCGGATGTCTCAACTGGAGTCAGGCCGCTCATCGGTCTCTGTCAGGTGGAAAGAGTGCGGTCTTGTCAGCTTTGACCGTCGCTCTTGGAGGCAAGGCTACGTCGACCGGTCGTGGTAGCGGTCTGAAGTCTTTCATCCGTGAAGGCCAAAAGTGAGCATTTCCTCTCTATACCCATCTCGTACACCAACCGTACTCCGCAGCGTCGCCGAAGTCTCCGTGCAGCTTAAGAACCAGGGCGAGGAGGCGTACAAGCCCAAGGAGTACGGCAAGAGCATCATCATCACTCGCCGCTTCACGAGGGACGGCTCGTCGTCGTACAAGATCAAGGCCAGGGACGGGAGAACCGTCTCGTCGAAGCGTGAGGAGCTCCAGGCCATTTGCGACCACATGAACATCCAGGTAGACAATCCGATGAATATCCTGACCCAAGGTGTGCTCCTATGCTTACGCTGACCACAACGAGCTAACTTTTGCTCCCCAGATTCTGCGCGGCAGTTCCTCTCTGCTTCATCGCCCGCAGACAAGTATAAGGTAAGCTGACGTAGTCCACGGGCATATGCGCACCCTTCATTCGCGATCGCAGTTCTTCCTGAAGGGCACACAGCTGAGTCAGCTCAGCGAGGAGTACCAGACTTGCATGGAGAATATCAGCCAAACGGCCAAGGTCCTGAAGCGCAAGGCCGAAGTTATCCCCGACCTCGAAGAGGCCTATCGCGAAGCTCAAGCCCGCTTCGAGGAGGCTGAGATGGCACGGGAGCAACGTCACAAGGCTGATGAGCTCAAGAAGGAGCTCGCCTGGGCACATGTCGCGACCAAGGAAGCAGTGGGTAGATCATATGCACTGCGCTGTGTCGCTCCTAACGCATACGATACGTCAGGAATTGACGAGCAAGTTGACGGAGGTGGCCAACATTCAGCACAAGGTCGAGAAGGCGGAAGCCAATGTCAAGCAAGCGGAGGCTGGTAGCTTTGTCACGTCGCTTTTCATCTCCATCTAACCGCCAATTTCAGGCAAATCGCGCCCAGGTTGAGGCTGAGGTGGGAAGGCTTGAGGAGGAGCTCGAGGCGCTCGGAACCGTCGACACCCTCACCGCCCGCAAGGACCAACTCAAGGCACAGATCAGGGAAGGTCAGACGAGGCTGACACAACTTCGTAACGACGAGAAGCAGATGAACGAGTCGCTCGCGGGCGTCAACAACACTATCGCCGAGCTCGAGAAGCAGATCGCCGAGGAGCAAGCCCGCCTCGAGACCCGCTCTCGTGACAAGCGCGACAAGACGACCGCCCAGCTCCAGACCGCCAATGCCGAGCTCGCGGAGAAGGAGGCTGAGCACAAGAACGCCGTGGCCGAGAAGACTCGCCTCCACGGCGAGGCCGAGGGTGCTGAGGCCGAGGTCAAGCGGCTTAGGCAGGAGCAGAACCAGATGCGTGAGCGCATCGTCGAGTGCGAAGAGCAGATCCGGAGGTGTGGTGAGATGGAGAAGAGCAAGCTCGCCCAGTTCGGGCACAATATGGAATGGGTCCTTGAGCAGATCCGTCAGTCAAGATGGTACGGACAGCCTCCCGTGGGGCCCTTCGGGCTATACGTCAAAGTGAAGGAGCCCGATCGGTGGGGCGCCGTGCTCCGGATCGTCATCGGGGGGCTCATGGGTAGCTTCGCTATCACTGATCCTCGAGACCGGAACACCCTGGCGGATATTCTGGCAAAGAGCAACAAGTGAGCCATCTGAAGACTTTGAATTAGAGATATCGTTGACACAGCATGCGTCGTAGCTCTCGCACGTGCCAGATCATCATTTCAGAAGTCGATCTCTTCGACTTTAGTGAGGGAGAGCCGCCAGTACAGTACTTGACTATCCTTCGTGCTCTGGAGGTTCGTCCACTCGTGTATATTCACTTCATATTGTGATGCTTTACTGAGAATACCTAGGTGTCCAATCCTTACGTCCTTCGTCAGCTAGTCAATACGGCTCATATTGAGAACCAGCTACTCGCTCCCAGTCGTCGTGAAGCAGATCAGATGCTCATGGGTCTACCCAAAGGGGGCGTTGCTTTGGCGGCAGACTTATACAGAGTTGTCCGTTTCCCGTGGGTATTCGTGAGACCTTTGTTCGTACCCGTCTCTCTGGCTGATCGCTGGCAACAGTGAGGGAGGTGGTCAGTCGACCGTCCTCTCGGGCCTGAAGGGCAACGATCCCCGTCACGTTCTGTTCCGCAACAGCAACGCCGATGCTGAGAAGCAGTATGTCTATCGAAGGGCACATCGCACAAGTTGTGGTTGGAGCTCACCTTTCTTCGCAGGCGGTGGTCGGCATCAAAGCAGGAGTACAACAGCAGGCTGATTGATATCAACCGACGAATCCCAGAGCTGACCGCAACGGCACAACTTGCTCGGGCAGAGGCCAAGAACTTCAGCGTAAGTGGTTTCGATCCACTAACCTTGTTGCTTATATGTATTCAACAGCCTACAGGCGCAAGAGCAGGGATGCCTGCGTAGCATCCGGGAGCTCAAGAATCGCATAAGCGACCTCCAGAAAGAACTCAACGAGGACTTGCCCGTGAATATTCAAGCTCTGCAGGATGCTCTTCAGGCAAGTCGTCCGCAGCGAGACTCGCCATCATATTCGCTCAGATCGTACGCAGGAGCAACTCACAGAGAAGGAGTCGATCTTGTCGCAATTTGAGCACATTACGAGACAAAAAGCCAAGGTCAACGAGGACCAGGCTCCGCTCATTGCTGAGGCCGACCGGCTCCGCGTTCAGATTGCAGACTTCAGTGACAAGCACCGAGCACTTTCTGTACGTCTTCCTTTTGCATTGCACCAGCGAAAATAGTTAAGAATAGTTCAACAGGATGAGCTCGCGAACGCTGTCGCAGCTCGTATACACGGGAATGGCGTAATTGATCATTACAAGGCCAAGGCGGAAGCAGAACGTCAGAAGCTCGCCACAGCGGAGAAGACAGCTGAGGATGTGCAGAAAGAGTTTGAGGTGATCGAATCTCTTGACTCCGTGTATCTTGGCTTCCCTTCTCACTAGCGACTGTAGAGCTGGACCGCGAAGGCGGCCGAGTACTGCGAGCGATTCCCAAACCCACGCAAGGCCGATGTCGTGCAGCGTACTCTAGAAGCCGTCCAGGCCGCGTTGAAGGAGCGCGAAAGGCGACAGGGCGCATCTATCGAGGAGATCGCCGAGGAGCTGCAGAAGAAGAAGGCGGCACTCGACACGGCCAAGAGGGAACTCAAGTCGCTGATGTCGCTGAACAGGGCGCTCAAGAAGTCGGTCAAGTCGCGCTTGGCGAGGTGGCACGAATTCCGTCGTCACATTGCCCTCCGGTGCAAGGTGTACTTTGGATATCACTTATCAAACCGTGGCTATTTCGGGAAGGTCCTGTTCGACCATGTAAACGGAAAGCTCGAGCTCAGGGTAAGTAATCGCTCTTGTTGTTAGGGGAGCTAGTCACTAACCAGCCCGGTGACATAGGTACAGACCGACGACCAAAATCTGACCCAGGCAAACACCCGAGAGAAGGATCCGCGGTCACTTAGTGGTGGTGAGAAGTCGTTCTCAACCATCTGCCTCCTGCTCTCGCTTTGGGAATCCATTGGCTGTCCTATCCGCTGCCTTGGTACGTTCCTCTTCTTTAGCTTTCGTTGACATCTTGCCTTCTAACATCTATCTTCAGACGAATTCGACGTATTCATGGACGCTGTCAACCGTCGGATCAGTATGAGAATGATGGTGAGCTTCCGTTGCTTCTCCTCCGAGCGCAAATCCGCTCACCAGAATGTCACGCTTAGATCGATACTGCGAACACGTCAAACCGCAAGCAGTACATTCTCATCACTCCCCAGGACATGAACAACATCCACGTCGGGAACACGGTTCGTGTTCACCGCATGACGGATCCTGAGCGAGGGCAAGGGGTACTGGCTTTCCAGTAGGCCGCGCTTGGGAAGTCCGGGTCAACCTTAAGCTTAAGTCTTCGTCTCTTAGTATTGTATTAGTAGAGCGCCTATATCGTATACGTGTATCCTCGACGTCTAATAAGCCTTTGTTCGACTGTTTAGATTGCTTGGGAGGATACATGACGACAGTGTCAGCTCCGTATTCTCATCCTTCATTTGTCAGGCGACCTCATAACACACGACTCCCGGTGTGAGGAGATCTTTGCTAAGAGAACAGACAATTTCATTATGCGGATAGGTGCGCTGACAGTCACTTACCGAACCACAGCATAGATCCGCTCGAGGTTGCTCAGTCTGCACCGCGGCACACTGTAGAGGATGTTCTCTGCTATGCTTATGTCCGACGGCATCGGCTGACTGACGGAAGGCAGCTGCATTCTGGAACGTCAGGGTGACGTTCACCTCGTCCGACTGTAAATGAGGCCGCATCGTCCGGATCAACCGGACATCCTCTTACGGTGGCCATAGACCGCTTCGAAAGACCGTGCTGGAAGCAGGCCCGGACATCCGCGCGAGGGTAACTCAAAGACGGTGAGATTGCCTCCGCACCCTCGTATTCTCTTTTCCACCTCGCAGCTGCGTAGACAATGCCTACAGCAGCAGTCGACGACCACGGCTCTGTGCTATATTATGAAGATAGCGGCGCGCCAAGTACATCCAGCGGATATGTTACTCTGGTGCTGATACACGGAACGTGTTTTCATGGCGGTGCGTCGCGCTCCGTTCCACTCCCTGCCAATTGGGAGCTGAGACGACAGCACGACCTCTACAGCCGGCTTCAGACCCCTTATACCCTTAGCAAAGGAACATAATTTGCGTCTTGTCCTACTCAATCTCCGCGGTTATCCCGGATCGACACCATATTCCGACGCAGAACTGGAGCTCTTTCGAGGGACTCTGGATGATCAACAAGCAGCCCTCCAGACTCGGGGCTTCGAGATCGCTACTTTCTTACGTTGGTTCATCGAGAATGAGAACATTCCCAAGATCCACACTACGGCGGGGAGCGACCAGAAATCGGGCGGTCTTTCGATTCTCGCCTGGTCCGGAGGCAACAGTCAAACGCTATTCTCTTTCGCCAACGCAGACAAATTGTCAGAAAATACTCGGGCCCTCCTGGGCGCATATATACGAAGCTTCATCATGTACGGTGAGTGTGCGAGAATAACGCAGTCCAATTATACGTGTCCTTGAACTGTGAGTGACTCTAGATCCGAGCCACACTGCTGTAGGAGTTCAGCCGCCTCCAGGTCTCAAGTCTTTGCTATTCGATCCCATGGCATCCCCCGAGGAGCAAGCTCTTCAGTTCGGCCTCTCCGTATCCGCCTACTACCCACCCTTCACACTTCCAAACAGTATCCACGACACTACCTCGTACGTACCTCGCGGTCCGCTCAACGATCCCCAGCCCACCACTGCAAAGCTCACGGACCAGGAAATCCGCGACTTGACCCATCCGGCTATCTTCGAGCGTACTCAGCACGCATTATGGTCCCCAACGCTGAGCTCGTTATATGAGAAGAACGCCCTGCGTGCACTATTTGACTGCAGACTGCTTGATGATAGCAGTGGGGCGAAGAAGAAGGTTTGGCCTGGGGTCAGGGTGCACGTTGTGTGGTGCGATATGACAGCGGGCGAGCTTGCGTGGGCGGTGGCGGTCCTGAGGTCTAGATATAGGGAGTCAGACCCAGATGCTCGTAGGGAGATCGATTTCCATAAGCTGGAGGGTGCTAACCATTTCGTGAGTGTTAGCGACCATCTCATATCGTGACAAGTTTGACCGAATGCACACGCTGATGACTCGACCCGCACAGGTTCACTTGGAGGAGCCGCAGAGGTTTATAGAGCTTCTCAAGAAACTGGCCTGACTTCTGTCTGAGTAATCGATCGAAACCAAGCCCGGATATGTGCTTGCATGGCAACCAAACACCATTTAAATTAGTGAGGGCCAGTCTGCGTGCGAGATATCGCAGTAAGAGATCGTGGGAATATTATCGGCAATGGCCTCCGGAGCCGCCTTGTTTGCACGGAGTCGTCACGTCGATCCATTCCATCGCTTCTCTAGCAGCCCCTGCCCTTTCGCATAACAAGTCTTCGTCATAAGCTGCATTGTATCTGAGCTGGGATTTGGCCGTGTTGGGATCACCGCGGTACGTCATACATAGGTGTCGCCTTGATGAGAAAACTCGGCTCAAGAGCTCAAGGTCTAGTGCCGCCGGATTTGACTTCTCCAATCCAGGTGACACCTATCGCACGCTCCTTGCTTCGTCGTCGGCATCTTGCCGAGAGTCCTCATTGGACCCCTTCTGTGGTGAAGGCCTGAGCAGCTTTATCATCATGGTATACACGGTCTTCCAGAAGCGCACCCGCTTGGGATGCGCAGTTATATGACGCCGAACTACCGGAGTGCCTCCCCCACACCGCATACACCCGTTCACGATGCCTACCGCACCTGTTGATACTCGAGGATCTGTCCTCTACTTTGAAGACAGTGGCGTTCCGAATGGTTCCACCGACTACATTACACTGTTCATGATACACGGCACCTGTTTCCATAGCGGTGCGATCTATTCCTTCATGGCCACAGCTGGCTGGGTTACTCAATCACTACAGCTGGATTCAGGCCCATCATCCCGTTCGCTACTCAGAGTAATATCCGTTTGGTCTTACTCAACGTCCACGGTTACCCTGGTTCTACCCCGTACTCAGACGAAGAACTCGATCGTCTGGAAGGCAGTTTGGAAGCGCGTAAGGCGGAGTTGCAGGCGCGAGGGTCTGAGCTAGCCGCGTTCATCCGCTGGTTCATTATCACGGAAAAGATTCCCCCCATCAGTGAGAGTAGCCACGGAGTGCTCATTGGGGGGCTTTCGGTCTTGGCATGGTCTGGGGGCAACGGACACTCGCTGTGCATGTTCGCCCACGCCGATAGACTCGCAGAAGATACGAGGAAGCTGTTTGACGAGTATCTGCGCAGCCTCATCCTCTACGGTAAGAGCTTACCAGCCATGGGTGCTACTAGGCATGGAGGCTGAACTCACGCTGCTACGGCAGATCCAAGTAGCACGGCTGCCGGGACCCCGGCTCCCCCTGCGCTCAAGAGTATCAGACCTGACAGGTCACTTCCTCTCGAGGAACAAGCTATCTTCTTTGGTACTCAAGCGTCGTCCTTCTATCCCCCGTTCACACTCCCCGACACAATCCCGGAGACGCCGTCTTACGCGCCTCGAGTGGCGCTACATGAGGGTCCCGGGGCCGTCGACCCGAAGCTGCAGCCAACGACGTTCAAGATGACTACATCCGAGCTACGAAGCGTCATGCACGTCCCCATCATGGAGCGTGCTCAGCACGTCATCTGGTCGCCGCTGCTACGCGAGGTCTTCCGAGAAAACGTCAGGCGGGCGTTGTATGACTGCCGGCACGACGATGGGACTGGCGCAAAGAAGAAGATCTTGCCCGCGGTACGGGTCCATGTCGTTTGGTGCGACATGACCTTAGGGGAGGTCGCATGGGCAGTGGCGAACCTCAATTGTGAGTACAAAGAAGCGGCGCCGGAGGCTCGCCGCCCTGTGGAGTTTCACAAGCTCGAAGGCGGTAACCATTTTGTGAGTCACGTATTGAGACCGATGCTCCTAACGCCGAGATTGTTGACCTGATCTGTAGATTCACTGGGAGGAACCTGCAAGATTCGTTGGTGTCTTGGCAAAGATCATCTAGGTGATGTGATTGTGACTACTCTCTTTACGTTGCAAGTTGTATTGCAGTGCTCGGCCGGTTGTGTAAGTACTGGATTCCATGAATCCGCACTAAGGTCTATGTCCTTATCCGAGCATTCTCACCCATGAGACCAAATTTCCTTCAGGACGTGCGGCGTTCCTTGGCCCTGGGTCCTGTTAAGTGAGATATCCCATGTACATGCGTTTTCTGAGTAACAATAAAATGTGCACTCTTCCTGGTACTGACGGCAGTCGCATGCTCCTTGTTGTGGTGCACGGTGCAGGTCATTAGGGGTGAGTAGCTTGTTGACACCCCTGTGCTCCCGGTCACTGATTGACACCGCAGCGAGTGGCGACATGCTAGCGAATCCAAGATGGTCGCACAGATTCAGCCTGATGGGGCCAGGAATGCGTTCGATGGCAAAGACCAGTGTAAGCAACTAAGATACAGGATGAGTTCACGATATGTGCGGTCTTGTTCGGACACAGCAATGGAAGACGCATCAAGCATGGGCCTTGGGGCTTCCTTGCAACAATTTCTACCATCACAGAAGATACTGCTGAGCCAAAACTCTCAAGTCTGGTGCTCGCCGCAGCGACATCTCCTTCCTCGCAGTGATATGTACGTACGCGACCACCAACCCTCGATTCTTCTGCGTATGCCGATCTTCTCCCGGACACGCATGGTGCCTCTTTGGTGTCTACTTACGTAGACATGTACTGCATGGTGGGTCTTGCTTGGCTTCTCTATGTGCGTCTTTGTGATCAGGTCTGTTTAGAGCCCATATTCGCTACGACAGGAGGACTGGGACTTATGGAACTTCGAGGGATCGAGGCAACGCGGGAGCCTTTATTGTCTGTGCACGACCTTGCCTCGTGCATCTTACCTCTTGATATCGGCATATCACCCTTCTTTCACCTTCCCGCAGGCCATCCAGTTCCAGCACTGCCCTTCACGATCATCCCGAGCTGGACGACCCAAGGACGACCTAATGACCTACCGAAATCCGCCTGCGGAGGTGCGCGAACCCATGCGCCTCCAGGCAGTTGGCACAGCCGGCCCTCAGAACCTACACCTAGATGTATGCAACGCATGTGAGGACAGCGCTCTTTGATCGGCCGTTTGCCATTGAGAAGACCCCCAAAGACCACCAGCTCCTCCCTTCATGTCTACTGCGGTTAGTGCAACACGAATTTGGAAGATTGAGTGTTGACATTGATACCGCTGTGCTCCAGGCGGGACACTGTGGTGAACGAGGCTCTTTTGCAGGACGCTTGATCCACATGCCAACAAATTACCTTCAGTATGTCAATACATTCCTTGTACATCATCAGGTCATCTCACAAACCCACGTCGTGACAGGTACATTCTGGAGGGCCTCAGCATTCCGTTGGAACCTTCCATATTCAATGTTGGCTTTGGTTGAGGATCCGCGTGTCCTACATATATGACGCACGCGAACATTGGCAGAGCTCGGAGCTTCAGCTGAAATGAGTTGGTTCGCACTGCAAGGGGCTGGAACGTTTCGCCGTTCCGAGCTTCGGTTACCGTTAGAACGGAGAACTATTGCATGTGAGTACTACTCCGCCTTATCCGGTGTCGGGGCTGCCGGATTGCACCCAGTGACCCACCACCGCCAAGCGAGCGCTTCATCTGCCCGAGCCCTAACCCTAAGGAGGTTCGAGATTGGTATGTTTTGACCAGGAAGTTCGCTGACATTACGACGCAGTCAGAGGCCGAGTCCCAGCGCGCGCGCATCGGAGATATCGATGTGCGCCGTTGTAAGAGGGCAGCGCTTGGTCTGTTGTACGGAGACGTTGGCGGGCAGCTGAGCCCAGGACGACGCTTCAGGCATTCTTCGATGTGGTCGAGCATTCCCACTGACGCGCTTCTCCATTCTACGGTTCCTGTGCCGGTCGCCTGCCTCGCCCAGCTCCCGTCCTCCTTTGTCCTCGGCGGGAACTGCCTACAATAGGCCCTCTCCTTTTTTTCGTTCGCTGTCCGGGCCTTCCCAGCCTCAGTATCCCCGTCACACTGCCTCCCGTCTTCGTCTGTCTGTCTTCATCTCCCGCCGGTTCTCTGCGCGCGCACATAAATACATGATGCGGATTCCCGCCCCCGCGCGGCGCGTTCTCGTTCTCTTTCCCTGATCATCCTGCCCGAGGGAGCATGCCCTTTTCTTTCAAGCGCGCTCGCCAACAGGAGCCCGCGGCCTTCCCTCGATCGATTCTCGATGCAGTCAAGTCGTTCTATGCCACAGAGTGAGTATTCGCGCCGGCTCCGCCGATCCCGCGGGGAGTCCTCCTTCGATCGCGCGATTGACCATCATTGTATCGTCCACAGGAGAAAAGAACCGCAATTCAGTCAGTCCCGTCCGCTCCACTCGCGCCCCTTCCTCCTTTGACCGCATTGGCGAACAGAGCCGCCAAAGCACGACCGCGAACGTGACCGAAGGACCCATGCTCAAGCTGCGACGACCATCACGACTCCCGCGAATACGAACACGAAAGCGCGCTCCCGACATCATGTAGCGCGCCATCCTATCCGTCTTCCGCACCGAATCACACAACTCCCACCGGAGGTTCTCGCGCACATATTCGTTCTGGGCGCTGAAGAGGATGTGATGTTTCCCGTCACAGTCTCTCACGTTTGCAGGGCTTGGAGATATGCCGCACTCCACACGCCTACCCTATGGCGACGCATTACCCTGGATGCAGGCAGTCTACTGATGTGGAACTATAGGATACACCGCGCCAAGGCATGCACTCTCGACATCCAGCTCTGCCCCCAGAGCGCGATGTCCCACCTTGGCTATTACAATCACGTCCAACTGTGTATGCACGTTGCCATCCCCTACATACACCGCTGGCGCTCCCTAGAAGTTCGGTTCAACGGATACGCGCCATTCCTATGGAACGCCGCTTTATCTGCGTGCTGCGGCCACTCTCCTACAATTGAAGCCCCTGCCCTTCGCGAGCTGACCCTCGTTTACCCCGAGAATGACGACACGAAGGAGTTCGCGCTATTCAACGGATTCGCGCCTCGTTTGCGCCGCGTAACCATACAGGGCATCCGTCTGGCATGGTCTCCGTCAGTATTCCAGAACCTGACATTTCTGGACTACACACACCACGGGTTTACTCGAGGCGCCCAAGCTGCGTCCGAGGTGCTCTACATGCTACAAGTGTCAGCAGGGCTGGAGGAGCTGCGTTTAGCGTTTCCATGGAAGGGCGACTCGGCCTCGCGCTACGCCCTCTCCGCGTCGTTCTCGCGCTCCGTTATCCTGCCCCGACTCAAGAAGCTCGCCTTGTACATCGACGGGGCCGACGTTCCGCCTGCGCTGACGTATACCCTCCCGCACCTGTCGCTCCCTGTCCTCCGCTCGCTCTACCTTGTGTCCCCAGCCGCACCGCGCCACTCTCAGCACCCTGAGGTGTTCCCACATCTCCGTAACGTCCTGAAGTCATTTCCCCGCCTCCCGGCACTGAGCAGCCTGCACCTCGCGCATGCGTGGCTGGACGAACGGTTCCTCGCGTCGCTGCTCGCCACCTTAGCATTCCCCGGGAAGCCGCATCTGACGCTCACCCTCGAGGGCCCGCAGGTCACGCATCCGTTCCTCTGCCACGCGCTCCGGCACGCGGGCAGGAGGCTGCGCGCACTGGCGTTGGTCCGGAGCGAGAAGCTGACAGCGGAAGCAATTCTGGACGTTATCAACCGCCTAAGCGGAGTGTATCTCCAGAGCATCCCGCCTGGGGCCGTGCCCGCGATTTCCGCGCTGTACATCCGCGACTGCAAACACGTCGACTGGCGGTCGCTGCAGTGGATCGCGGCGGTGGGCATCCTGCTGAAGGTGTGGGAGGGGGGACGAGAAGTGGACATGAGGTATGCTCGGGCGTCGAAGAAAGCGCGCTTCCGCTGAGGTTCCCGTTTCCTTGCTACTGTGCGGTTTGCGCTGACAATGATTTACGCTGTGGCAGGCCTGCGATGAGCCTGCAATACGATTACATGATGACATGACGTGACACGACACCGGACCTTCCAAACAGATACTTTTGCATTGGCTCACCTTACTCTACCCTAATGTTGTCCTCCACTCTCATACCCTCGCTACGGCCCGCATTCGTACACTCTGGTATTGAACACTGGTCGTATACTGGTACATTCACCTGAACAGATGGCCCAAGCGTAGCCGATTGCGCTGCCACATTCCTACAGCTCGCTAATTTATCCTATGCCTACCCTACTTCTCGACCCGCATCAGAGAACTTGCTTGTATGTGTACCGCACGTCCACTGTAGCACTTACTGTGTCTCTCTATCGTCAATCCATTGTAGACTTCACGATGTGGAGGGGTTGACCATCAGGTAACCGCCATCGACCGCGATCTCTTGGCCGTTGGTGTAGCATCCTGCAGGGGAGACGAGGTATATCACCGTCCCGGCTATCTCCCCGGCACTGTATACGCGTAACATCATGAGCAGAGCTCGAAGCCGACCAATGTCAGTCTTAATGCATGCGAAAGGGAAAACGTACAGGCCTGGTCTCTTAGCGGGAACTGGCTGCAACCCCTTGCCGACGTGGTCTACTAGGTCGGGGGTGATCTTGGCTACGGTCATCTCGGATTCCCAAACTCCGGGAGCAACCGCGCAGACGCGAACGGGGATGTTCTTGACTGCAAATTCGGTGGCCATCATCTTAGTCAGGTGGGAAGCCGCCGCCTTCGCGCTGTTGTACGCGAACTGAACGACTAGGAGTCATTGTCTGTGCCACCAAGCGGACGCAGCAACGTATCACTTACGTGGTTCTGGGCAAGCTTGACTATACCGCTCACGCTCGTAATGTTGATAACTGACGATGTATAGCCTGCAACATCCTCGGAGCCTTTGGCGAGGAGACCAAGGAACGCCGTAGTAACGAAAAATATAGAGAAAGTGTTGACGTTGTATACATTCGACCAACTCTCGAACGATTCGCCTTCGAAGAGAGACCGCCCGATGGTCTCTGCGTTCTGACGTTGCGGTGCATTCGGGTTCTCGAACCATGGCGATACAGGACCGGTCTGACCAGCACTATCATCGCGGCGATGCGCATTCGTCAGACGGCGACCTCTCAGATAAGCACAGACTCCGTACTTGTTCACCAAAATGTGAAGCCTTCCCTCTTTAGACGCAATGAGGTCGCGCGCAGCTGCGATGCTTGTGCGATCTGTCACATCCACCGTCAATCTGGCAACGTGTTCAGCCATGTGGATGAGCTTATACCGCGCCTTTCGAACACCAGCGCTCTGGGGAGGATGGACACTGCGAGACTCACGCAGTTATAGATCCAGTTGCATCCTGATGCTTCTCCCCGAACTCCTTGACAGCATTATCGAGGGTATCTTTCCTCCGCCCTGTGATATACACCTTTGCGCCGTTGGCCGCTAGCCCCGAAGAGATCTGGAAGCCGATGCCCGTGCCGCCTCCGGTGACCAAAGCGACGCGTCCTTGAAGGTTGAATATTGTGTCGAAGCGAAGAGATTCCGACATCTTGGCGTGCCCTGCTCTGTCTGAGGGGATAGATGGCAACGTAGAGAAGGCTGGGACCGAGCGGGGGATATGTACAAAACGCCGCTGCAGAGCACGTTGAAAGCCTTGGGATGACAGCGGACCTCCGGACCGTACGCTTGGACGGACCTGCACGGCGACGAGGTCATGCCAGAGCAATCGGCCCAGCAACATTGGCACGAGGTCTGTCTGAACGGCTGATAGGGAGAAGCCGACGGGCCATATCCAGCAGACGAAGTCGCAGTTGGCGTAGCGTGTGTGTCGCTGCGTGAAGGGAGAAAGCAACCTGTCTGCCCCGCCGTCCGTCGTGGAGCGCTGAGCGATCATTTGCTTCTTGGCCTCGACCATCGCCATCGCCAAAGCTCCCACCAAAGGAATCCAACACTCTGGGTGCATATATCTATGTCTGCTTCTCGATGTGGCAGAAGGAACCCGAACCATGTCGCTGCCAATTCGAGCCTGACTCATAGACTGGCGATTCAAACCTTCAACGCCTGATGTCGATCCTATCAAGCGGGAGAGAATGATGTCCCCGAAGCACCGATGACCCCCACACTCGGCCGAGACGTACGTCCCAGGGGAGTCAGTAGATGCCCCCATGACTCCTGGTACTGAACTCTGTATCTATTTCCTTTATTTACACTCTCAGCAGGTCGCACTCAGGGTCAACATAACTGCCAACCGCGTCCTCCCAGTTCCCATCCGCCCGAGATGTCCGCCAACGCCACTACCACCTCCGACTTCGATTTCGATTGCATTGTCGTCGGCTCGGGCCATGCAGGCAGTTGTGCAGCCCTCGCTGCTCACGACGCCGGCTGCAAGCGCGTCCTCATCGTCGACAAATGCCCCCCGGAATGGGTCGGGGGTAACGGTTACTTCACCGCCGGTGCCCATCGCACGGTGCACGGCGGTCTGCAGGACCTCCTTCCTATCGTGACGAACGTATCACCTGACGCGGCGAAGAACATCGACATGGATCCGTACACCGCCGATGACTTCACGCGCGATATCATGCGCCTCGGAGAGGGCCGACCAGACCCGCAGGTCGTGAAAGCCGTCGTAGATGGCTCGCGCGATGCAGTGGGGTGGCTCCGGGAGCGCGTCGGCGTCCCGTTTATCTTCTCATTCCACCGGCAGGCTTATCTCGTCAACGGACGGCAGGTCTTCTGGGGAGGTCTGGCACTCGGCGTCGATCATGACGGCGGGAAGGGCCTCATTGCCGCCCACGGGGCTGCGCTCGAGGCTGCCGGGATAGAGACGTGGTTCGACACTCCCGCGACCGAGATCGCAGTAGAGGGAGGATCCATCGTTGGTCTCGTCGTTTCCCGAGGTGGCAAAGCGAAGACCCTGCGCTCGCCCGCGGTCGTTCTCGCATGTGGAGGTTTCGAGTCAAGCCGTGCCTTGCGGTCGCAATACCTGGGACCGGACTGGGAACGGGCGAAGGTAACCCGGCATCTTATCTAGCTCTTCGCTTCGATGGACCCGCATCTCACATACTTTGTGTGACATAGGTCCGCGGTACTCCGTACAACACAGGAGACGGGCTATTGCTCGCCCAACGCGTTGGCGCGCGGTTGACGGGCGATTTCAAGGGTTGCCATTCGACTTGCTGGGATGCGAATGCTCCTGATGACCGCGGGGACCGGGTGCTCAGTAACCAGTTCACGAAGTCCGGCTACCCGCTTGGGCTGATGCTTAATGCTCGCGGCGTGCGCTTCGTTGACGAGGGCGAAGACTTCCGCAACTATACGTACGCCAAGTTCGGTCGCGAGATCATGGCCCAGCCGGGCGGTTACGCGTTCCAGGTGTACGATAGCACCGTCGTTCCTTGGCTGCGCAAGGAGGAGTATGCGGATGATGTCGTCGAGAAGATCTGGGCCGACACCATCGAGGAGCTCGCCGCGAAGCTCCTCGAGAAGGGACTGGAGGACAAGGACGCATTCGTCCATTCGATCACACGGTACAACGATGCTACCCGCGCGTTCAAGGCGGAGAAGGCAGACGCACGGTGGGACCCCGCGGTGAAGGACGGCGTTTCGACACAGTCAAGCAGCCTCAAGCTTGACCTCCCCAAGTCGAACTGGGCGCTCCCACTCGAGAATGGCCCCTTCCTCGCTGTCAAGGTGACTTGCGGGATTACCTTCACTTTCGGTGGTCTGGCGATTGACCCAGAGACCGCCGGGGTCATTTCCGGCGCTACGGGAAAGCCTATTCGAGGGCTTTTCTGCACTGGCGAGCTGGTGGGCGGACTGTTCTACAGCAACTACCCGGGTGGAAGTGGGTTGACTGGCGGCGCGGTGTTCGGAAGGAAGGCTGGTCAGGAGGCGGCCAAGCTTGCGAAGGAGGCCGCGTAGTGCATTCCAGCCACTGTATATCTATATCTCTATGCGCCATTGTAATCTCTGTACGAGCGTTAGCATAGGTGATCACCGCCTCACAATCGTGTTGCCCACCCTTCCTGAGCGTGTGTAGTGCCAGTGGGCTGTAGCGTTATGAGGAAAGTGCTGGCCATGGCCGTCACCTTCATCCTGCAGTTTCGACCCCAACCTCCTCGGATTGTTTCATCGCCGCGTACCGGAACGCCATTCTGAAGCTAAGTAGTACGCGATATGTCAACACCAGATTCAGCACTGGGATCTGAGATGGCTGTCTGTAGAGAGAGATACTCAGCACTGATAGGGGCCCGACGGCCGCTGGGCGCCAGATTCGGCGCTCACGATCTTCCGCGTTTACAATAACCAACATTGGACCACATAGTAGGACATATCGTACGTTGTGCCACTCGCGGCGTCCGCTCTTGCTTTCAGGTATTTCCCGGTCTTCAATGGGTAGCGTATTGGCCTAGCTGCGGTGGCGCTGCAATCAATATCAGCGGTGAGGAAGCTATACTGTCGTCTCATAGTTTGACCGATCAAAAGATGGCTCTCACAGGCCTCGCTCAAACTTCCTCCCCAGCAAGGGCCCGGATATAGCTTGCCACGGAGAATTCGCAGACGATCCGCAAGAACAATCATTATCGGCGAACCCGCCCAGGTTGCGAGCATCTGATGAAGGCCGGACTTCACCAAACCTTAGTCATCACAACGTGGAATGGACCACGCATGGCTAGGACCCACAATTCGAAGACGCTGTGTGTGGACAGGAGATCTGGATAACTAACGTAAGTCCGTCCTGATTCATTTCTGTGAATATCTGGTCGAATGCGCAACTGCGAATCGATGGCACGCACCATCTTTCTTCTTCTCAGAGCCTCGCTCAGGCTATCCAAACCTCTCCCTGCCTCCTGTCCTCCTATCTGACTATAGCAATCGCATGTCAGAGAATGGTCGCAATGGATGCCTATGCCCAGTTTTTGCCTAAACTTGGATGAACCTTGTCGTCAGCATTCGGTCGACACCAGGAACGGGCCCTGCCAATCTTCCCCAAAGCGAGGAGAAGTGGTCTGTGCCGAGGAACACATGCTTCACTACTGTGGGAGACGATCGGCATCGCCAGGTGGTTGCAGTGCTCGCAGACGTTCTCTTTCAAGCTGTGTCGACCGTGCCAGCTCAACCTGTGTACATGCAGGTTCCTGCCGTGATGAGCGCTTCCCAAGCTGTCTGTGTTTCGTTTTGCTCTGCCACTGTGCTGTGTATTCGTGACCGATCAGTACGGAGAACGCAATGTTGTGGGTGTCCATCTCACTGGGGAAGGAGGACGTGCGTTGTCTGGTGGAAGGGTACTGGCAAAGAAGGCTGGGCGTACTAGGCGGCTAAGCAAGGAAGCACATACAGCTGTCACAGTGTTGCGACTACGCGGACGCTTGAACAGCACAATCTCCGAGTTCGAGGCTTCTGTCCATGTCCGGCCCGAGATGGTTATCAGACTACCTGGGAATGGGCTCGCGTGAGCTTTGCAGTCAATATGTACGTCAGTTGCACATCCGAACAGCGCTACAGACATTGACCGTGTCGGAGGCGGGGCTGCCTCGCGTCTTCTCATCTGGGCATGCGTATGAACACAATTACAGTTTATATATGTCCCAGATTCTGACCACAGGCTCGGCAAGTCCCGGGACGTCAAGTATACTTGGATTGTGGACGGCAGATACTTGTCTTCCTACCACCAGGTCCTCTGCCCCTGGGTCGCGCAGAGGGCTCGATTGTTACCGCGAGCGATTGTTTCAGTATCCGTTGTAATTCCCTCCAAGACAAGCACATCCCGGTAGTTGCGAAGAGATCATATTCGACTGTGAGTCCATGTTTGTGCTTCAACCCGACCCTGGATCAGGTTCGCACGGCCGAGTCGCCTCCATTCCTAATGTCTTCGCCACCTAGGAGAGGCCAAGATGCCGCCGCACCTTTCTTCCCTTCGCACTCAGATGTTGCCTGCTGAAATCATCTTCGACGTCGTCCGCGAAGCCTGGTTGACCATCGTCAATGGTGACTGGGCCCTCCGTTGGGACTTCTACAACTCAATCTCCATGGTCTCCCACTCATTCAACGGTGCTATGCAGAACGCCGCACTGCGAATCGTCGCGATACGCACCCCGGAGGATTTCAAAGCCTACAGGTGTCTCGTCAAGCGTCGCTGGGGCCTCGACCCGGATTACGAAGGCGACAACGAGCGCGTCCACCCGGACGCCACAGGGTTCTTCGTTCGTTCCGAGCTGCACATCGTCCTCGCGGACTGGATATGCCCCGGCTCCGGCTTCCAGTACCGAACGGACTACGTGCGGATCGCTCGCTACATCCCGGCCTGCAAGTCCTTACACGTGCTCGTCAAAGAGCTGCCGTCGAACGATCAGTACACGCTCCCCTACCAGCCGCTGTTCCACTTCCTGTCACAATACCCGGACACGCGCCGCATGTCCCTCCGCTGGACGTACACGCACAGCAATCGCTACATCCTCCCGAAGTTTTCTGTAGAAGGGGTGACGTACTTGCGCGTGCGCGAGTTTCCTCGGTGCATATGCCATAACCACCGTCCGTCGCCTCCACCCGGGAAGCGGCACTACGACGACTGCTTCTCGTATTACCTCATGACGCTCTTCCCAAACCTGTCTCACCTGCACATCGACACGCCTTACTTCCTGAAGAACCTCACTACGCCGCCGAACGTCACGCTTGTCACCATCGAGGTGCCACCCGTCCACTACAGCACGTCGCACGGACAGTTCAGCTCCCTGTCCGCGTGGAACATCGTCTCCGCGCTGACGCTCGGTTTCTTCAAGACACGCGTCGATCCTGAGGAGGAGAACCCGCCACCGCCGCGGCGGAGGAAGATCATTGTCAATACAGGCCCGCAAGAGCCCCAAGGGTGGGCTGTGGCTGTGGCTGCCTGCAAGGCACACAACGTCGAGCTCGAGCTCCGTAGGGTGTATAATAACCCAGTACGCGATAAATGAGGACCACGAGATGATGACGTCCATCTCGAATATAGTTCTGTGATTGATTCGCTTTCGATAGTTGTCTACGCTGTGATATAGGATTTTGGATCCACTAGTCACTCATCTGTCCTCATGTAGCAGTATTCGTTCAACTCCTCTGGACTCGGACTACATGGATCTAGATTGTACTGCGCCTTCTTACGCATAGCTTCGCATATCAGTAGTATCGTCTAACTTATACGGTAGATCAAGCTCACAATGACACACATATTATCAGATCGCTGCCGCTGTCAATATGGCACACCACTTCGGTCCACAGAACGATATAGGGAAAACCGACCCTTGAATACATGACGGTTAACTGGTGACGGCAAACATTTTAAGTAGTAAGATAATGATACGAGGATGCGTTTTCGTTGTCGTACACTGCAGGAGGCCTATCCTGCGCGACCCGACCCAATGGAATGGATTACCAATTCTTTGATGTCGTCGGAGTCATTCAGCTGCGTCTCGATTACTCGTCAACATCAGATACCTCAGCCATACAAGTAGCGCTCACCTTCACTCCAATGATCATATTCCTGTCCAACAATACGGCGCCATAAGCGAACGTCTCAAACGAACTCAGCTGCGCAAAAGGCAAGCTCGTCCGCACAGTTTCGTCGAATATTCTATACTCCGTCGCGTACCCCGCCATGAGCTCCGTCGGCTCGCACTGAATCTGCCCAATGACCCTCGTCTTCGGGTCCGTGAACGGGATGAGCACCGCGTCCTCGAGGCGTGCAAACGTTGCCACACCCTCCACGCTGCCCACCGCGAGCTCGCCCTCGGGCAGTGAGACGTCCCAGTACCCGCGAAGCCGCCGCCGTTTCTTGCGGTGCGCGGCCGCGAGACGGCGGACGGTGTGTGGGTTGAAGTCGTACACGACGATCGTTGAGCGCGTTGAGTCATCCTCGATGGGGTCTTCTTCCACCGTAACGTAACGTTGCCCACACGTTGTCGTTATCCAACGGCTCGCGCCGAACGACGTTTCCAGCCACCGACAGGAGCGGGGGCCCCATTGCGCCCAGGGGATGCGAGGAGTTGGGTCGTCCGACGGCAAATCGCTCAACCCGGCGATAGGGATTCCGTCTACAGATATTGAGATTGTGGGAGGTTTCTTGGCGGAGAGAGCGGAGAGAAGGGAAGCCGTGTGTACAATCAGCGTGAGGCACTCGTGGAAGCCATGGCTGTCATGCGTCATGACGTTGAAGATGACTATCGCGTTCTTGGGATTTAGATGGAATGGCTCTTTGGAGCGAAACGGTCGCGCGTTCCGTGTCGCATTCGTCATCTTCGGTTCTGACCGACAAGTGACCTGAGCGATCGAGTGCCCCGTCCCAAGCCGGGGAAGCTGGAGAATGCAGGAAGTCTGGAGCTCCAGCGGTTTGCCGTCTTTCCCGGGTCGAGCGCCTATGCGACATAGTTCGATAGCGTTGTCTGTGCAATTTGGTAGCGCTATGATATCGGGGGCCAGGAACGTGAACGTGGAATAGCTCGGACAATCGATCCCACGTAGCTTTGGCGGTCGTTGGCAACGCATATACGGCATGGGAAAGAGGCGGAAGTGCGTACCTGCAAGCATTGCCCAGTCTTCCAATTGTATACTTCGAACATAGCAGGAGGGGTCGTGGATCCAGATGGATAGTGAAACATGAAGCATAGCAGATCACCGATAATCTCAATGCATACACTGCATTGACCGGCCACTTGTTCAGGAGGCGAAGGTATTGTTGCTAGGGTCAGCAGTGGTGAGGAGGCGAGTGGGTGACTGAGACCGGTAGATAGCTGTATCAAGCGTAGCTCGAAGACAGTCTGGTGATCATCCGTTTCTCGACTACATAAAACACTCTCAGTATGCTGGTCTCCACATGGTCTATGATAAGACTCATATCTACGCACTCGGTGGCGACCACGATGAGGTCATGCTCCTGAACGGCGAGCCCTACATCGATGATGTGGGCTCCGACGTCGATCTTTTCCCAATGTTCACGACGTGCGTCCACAGCAACTAGATCAGAGAGTCGTGTCCACCGAATCTTGTCCGCACCAGACTGAATGCCGGAGACGGACTCGCCCAGGAGGAGAACACCATCCGTAAGATCATAGATGCTCGACGGGTTGAACGGTATGCGCACAGACGTTTGCGTCTGAAAGTCAAGACGCGACCACGCAGACTCTTGCTGCTTCAAGAGCTTCAGCTTATCCAAGATGACCATGGTTGAGCTGGGATTGTCCTCGTAACCCGAGAGCTGAAGCTGCATCGAGTACTGCAGGAGCACGCTGCCCTGGATGAGCCGGTTGAGGGCAACGTTGACTCGCTTACAAGCATGAAGGTCGGTGTAGTGGAGATAAGAGAGTATATGAACAACGAGCTCTGGCGAGAGATTGAGGAGAGACATGGGCGTCGGAGGCAAAGCAACTAGCTAGTTTGTCGCAACCACACCCGCGAGCGCGACATGTTCTTACCGCCCACGTGCCCGCCCCGAGTTTACCGGGATGATGCTCAGCGACCAACATCCGTTTGAGCACTGATGCATTTACTCTCACAAACAACGTCGATTGACTCAAGAATGCTATGTAAGTACTTGTGTAGGAAACAGTGCGTGTTTAATAAAAATATGGCTGCGTAGTGACGACGGTAACATGCGGGGATATCAGACTGATAGAAATACAGCAATGCAACTACGATGATAAGCACCAGACGCCATGTACCATGTACGAACGCGAGATGAAGGACAATGGAAACAACCGTATCGTAATCTAACAGTAGAGCAATTATACTAGAATAGCCACTTAGCAGAACGCACGCCGAGAATTCAACCGCGCAATCTCTCCGCCCTGCCACTCGTAGCCGCCTTCCCGCTGGTAGCCTTTTTCCCGCCTCGAGTGGCCTTGGGTGCAGGTCTAACTTCGCTGATGACGATATCATCGTCGGAATCCTCAATAGGGATCGCTTCGGACTCCTTGTCCTTCGCCTTCTCGGCTTTCTCTGTGGTGTTCTCCTTCTCCCCATTATCCGTGTTGTCCCCCTTCGTCACCTCAGTCTTCGCCTCTTCCTTCACCGCCCGCTCTGCTTTCCATAGCTCTGAGAGTTGAACCGTCCGGTCCCTGAATGGCTTCCGGAAGTCTTCCTTGCGGCCTACGTACCAGTCCGCCTTGCTCTCCTGCAATCCAAGAAGCGATGTCAGAACATAATTGTCATGGAGGATACTCACGTTACATACGCGTATGAGTTCACCGGCGCGAACAGGATCATCCATGAAAACTTCAACAAATGCTAGTACGAACAACCCGCAATCACAGAAATTGGTCTGTAAAGGAGACTGCACAAGGAAGACGTCAGCACAAGGTATAGTGGCCTGGTGGAGGAACGGAAAAAGGTCTACCTTCGCGTGCTTGACCACCGCTAAGCGGGTTTCTTCCAGCTGGAGGCCCTTCTTGTCTACGGCTTCAAACCGGAGATACTTCGCGAGCCTGTTGGCCGCGGCAGGATGCTTAGAGCCAAGCGAATCGAAGGTGTAAATGTAAGCACTGCAGGGTCAATATCAGCGCGCAAGCCGAGATATGACGGGATAAGCGCTTACTCTTGATACTTAGACGAGTCGTCAACGGACGATCCTAATTCCTCAGCAACGTTCTCCTCGAGAGGCGCGGATTGCTTGTGCTTCGTTTCGGGTTTTGCATCACTTTCCACGGACTCGGAAATTCCGTCCTTCGAAACCATGTCCGCGTCCTCCTCGACAACGATGGGTTCCGCGTGCGCTCTGGTTTGGGGAAACGTCTTCCCCTCATCTGCCTCTGAATTGGGTACTACGTCCACATCCATGGGCTCCTCCGAACCAGGATACTGAAGCTCTCCGTTCTCAAGATCGACGCTGTGATCGCGGGTCTGTGAACGGGCCCGATTGTCGTCGACGGATAGCTGCGTCATCTTCAATATGCTCTCCACCTGGCCCTCCTCGCTCTCACCATCGACCACCATGACATCATGGAGCACGTCTGATGGTCGCGGCTCGGGCTGCTCAGAGGACCGCTTGGATGATTCTGCTGTTGCCTCCTTGTCACTGTCAGCCAGCATAGGAGGGTCTTTATCTTCAGAAACGAGCTCGTCAATCTCGGTCACGGCAGACTCGCGTTTACGCTTGCGTGTCTGTGGAGCTTCTCTTAGTAGGGCTTCAGGCGGCGGCGGATGGAGCATGTTCGCAGGGTTCTCGATGATGGCGAGATACCAATGGAAGCTGAAACGAAGCCGGATAGCGTGAGCACGCAGGTGAGGTGATTTGAGGAGTGAAGTGTACTTTTCGTTGATGGGCACGATTATGTACTTCTTGCTGAATATGTCCACCTTGGATGACCACTTCCGGACGCTGGGGTACGCATCTGCAACTCTGAAGAGTCATCAGTATGACGGGACTCCGCCAAGAGAGATGAAGACGCACTCTTTCTTGCTGCTAAGCTTCTTATAAAAGAAGGAGTTGAAGACGTGCACCTGGTCAGCTAGCTCCGGCAGTTTCTGGCGGAGATTTTCCATCCATAGTCTGTTGTGTACATGGGTCAGGCAACATGCGTCACTGGTCGCATATATGAACACACTTGAGTCCGAACTCGATTATAGTATCGTTCAAGTATTGCCCGTCGTCCAGCCGCTTCAGGTCAGCTCGCGTGATATTGACAGCACCTGTTCCGGTCTGAGGGTACACCAAAAGTCTGAAACAAGACGCAGTCAGTACGATCAGAAGCAAGAAACACCGGCAAGTAAACACACAATTCGTCAGGGTCAAGATCAGGAGACGGCGATCGACGTGAGCTCCGCGCGGACTGTCGAGTCGCTCGCCGTTCAGTACCGTATGTCCTTGAACACGGTCAGCGATCCGGGAATTTGAATTATGCCACTAAAGTCCTCTTACCGAGGCGGTGGTGCAGAGACAGAAGAGCGTGTGGATGGAGGCATTGTAGTTGAATCGTCGATAGCTGGACCTGTGGACAGAGGGGACCGTCGCGAGATGGGAGCAGAAGTGGAGGTACGATTAGCATCCCGCGTCGCCATCATTTCGCTTGCTTGTGCTACGTAATCCCAACAATTGTCTGAAGCAACACCTCTATGTTGATCCTATCAGTCGTGTTCAAGAAATGTAGCGTGGTATCAAGTGGCTCACCGAAGGACCTCGTGATTCTGATGTATTTGAGCCTTGAGCAGCCCAACAAGCTCCTTGTACGCCTGGCCGTTTTGCCAGTTCGCGTGCCGAAGCAGGAACTTGAACGACACCCAGCCCAAGGGCCGATCCACACCTATCCAGGCAATCAATAAGGTACGAAATGACTCTGTACTAGCGAACATACCAGGTTGAAAGCTGACATCATCCTGGCTCTTTGGCCGTACGCTCCGAGTCGTTTTCAACTTAATCACGGCCATGGTGTCCGGCTCCCACTCAGAAGCGGGGTCAGTGAACTAGACACGACCCATGCGTTGAGCGCCTTCGTGCACAAGAAGATGGGCAAGCACAACTACGTACACTGACAGCACTAAAATCTTGAGAAAGTCTGAACACCGCTAGGGGTGTTTGTGTGGCCTGTGCAGGCAAGACCTTCAGAACATAATTGCTCTTATTCGAAACGAACTCGGTAGTAAGCCAGGCGACCGGACCATCCTCGCTCTGGTCAAGATGACAACCGAACGACCATGCCTGGAGGGGAAGAGCAACGGAGGAGGAGCGCTTGTTGTTCTTACGGAAACCAGAAGACGAGGTAGCTATATCATCGAGAGGGTGTCCGACATGCGACGGCTGGTCGGAAGGCCCTGGCTTCGATGCCGGCTGTAGTAACAACTCGTATCAGAGAGTGATGTTATAGCGGCATAACTCAGAGTAACCTTCTGATTCTTCCCCTTCATCTGACTCTTCCTTGACTGGGACTTTGGCTTCATTTCGTTGAAGTCGATGGTGCGCACCGGCTCATCCGCTTTGCTTTTGGATGGCGGCTCCTTCCGGTGATGTAACGGACCGCTTGTCTCGAACATCTTGATGTTGCCTTGAACGAGACCGACAGGTATCTTGGAACGACCGCTTGGCGTTGTGGCTCGGCGTTCCTCGGACTTCAACGCGACCACCGGACCCTGCGCCTCAGATTCCCGGTCGGAGACGTCGAATCCGGACGCGGACTGGACGTCATCGCTAACGCCGTCATCGCCATCGTCGATGATTGTGACTATCTGAGGGTCATTCCGCATCTTCTCCTTTAAACGAACGGTCGACGATCCGTCAGGTGGCAAACGCGTGCTATTCGGCCTTCGACTAGGCATAGGAACGGGTTTGTCAAAGTCATGGACTTCCTGTACTTCCGACGACGGCTGGTCAATCACGTCCAAGGGGTCGGGTGACTGCGACAATCGACGTCCTTTATTATTTTCCTCATTGCGAGGATAGGACTGCCCAGTGTCCTCATCGCTGATTGTCTCCGCGTCCGAGGCAGACTGACCATGCGGCTCTTTACCCTTGCCCTTGCCTTTACTCTTCGACGTGCCCTGTGCTACAGGCAGGACAGCCGCAGTGGTCGTGTGAGAATTGTGTTCCAAGATCTCGTCACCAGACACTTACCTCCATCCTTGAAGTAGGCAGACGACTTCTGGTACGATGGGCTTGGATGTGAAGTCTTCTGCCTCTTGTGAGGATGAGGCGACGAGCGATACATAGCATGGTCCTCATTGTTACGACCTTCAAACCCGGGGGCACCCAAGATCGTCTTCGTTGCAGTGTTGTTCCCGGGCGTGACCTCTAGGCCAGCTCTCGCCCGCAGAGGACCTTTCTTGTGGTTCACACCGAGAGTGTCGCGCAATGCACTGTTCGTGTACGGGCTAATGCTGGCAATTTGGCGACGTGGAAGACTCTTGATATGCCGCATGCAGTTGAGGGTAGGGGGAGGGAGTAAAGCAGAAACGACCACCTACCGACGAGCTGGCCGTGGGTACTGGGACTCGCGTGGGCTGGGACTTCCAAGGTCTACGTTGTTTTGAAGCATGCATCAGCATATATGGAGTGTTATTACCCTATGGAGGGACGCACAAGGACTCTGCTGACATAGGCCGAGACGCGTCCCTGCGATTAGCGGGTGTGCCGCGGAGTCCGTGTCCAGAAGCTACGACGTTGAGGGTAGACACAGCGTGGCGATCTTGCGTAGAAATACCGGGACTCATGCAAGGCAGCAGTGAATATATATTCGATAGCCAGGCAGCTCAGAGATGAGAGAAGAGAAGGTAGGCGCGAGAGGACAAGGAGGATGCATGCAGAAGCTCTTCAGCAGGCCTCACGCGCGAAGACGCTACCGCCGCCCGCGCTAGCTGACGCCACGTGATGCTCTCAATTCGGCGACTCGACCGCAAGCGGTGTCCAATCTCCTCCCACACGACCAGACACAGTGTGGTTGAGTGCAGTGAACAGAGGGCACCCGCACAGATATCCAGAATGTGATCGTGATCTATTCTGTTCGTCGAGGACAAGAAACGGTGAGTGGGCCGAGCACGTCGGCAGAGGCGCCCGGCCAGGCTCATAACGGTATGTGCATACAGAAAATCAATATAGAGCTCGGTGCCCTCGGCGGATGTCTGACGGGAAGCCGGTATGCACTAGAGTAACTAGATTCCGACATATGTGGTCAAAGGTAAAGTGTGTCCGTTCCTAGGCAAGAAGGGTAACGTGCATGCACACAACGACAGTGGCTGCGTATGAAGGCCAAAGTCGACGAAGTCGTGTGCGAAGGCACTAGGAACGCAGATAGCAAAATGCGTGCGAGGGATGTCCTACACTACTTAACGATCCAATCGTCCAGTACTTGTATACACATACATGAGTGCATGAGAGTTCGTGCAGGATTCGTGAGGTGAGATGCGAGATGTGATATGGAGCGATTATGCGGAGAGGGTAGAGGTGACGGGCAACGCATAGAATGTGCAGGAGGCTTGAATGCAGTGCGAGACATGGTAGCCTCGTCAACATCCGTCGTACTTCGAGTTTCGAGGATATGTATAACCGGCTTGATCCCAGGTTGTAAGGTTCGGGTTCGAATATGCGTTTAGATGGCTGGCAAGAACTCGTCAGATGGGCGGTTGACAGCAGGAAAATGTATGCCTTCTCTTACTTGTTGATGTAGTCTGCCGTTGGATGTGACTGGGGGTCGCACGAGTACGAGTCCTCACCGATCACGTCGTTGCGCTGATACACGCGCACGTAGTCGATGTACATACTCACAGGGAACGTGAGGTGCTTAAAGTCTTGTGCCTGGAATCCGGCTGCAAGAACGCGTAAATTGCGAACATTGCAAGCAGCTGCATGACTACTCACGTGACATGCCCAGATTGAAGATAATATACTGTTCCCAGCGCACGTCAGAACCCGATTCCCGTACGAGCTCAGAACAGGTGCATGCTTACCATGGGCTCCTCCGGGATCATTCTCGCGCTGATCTCTGTGGTCGAGTCTGGTCCAATCGTATCTGCCGTCATTGTCCACGTCTTCTGGCCGTTCGCGACCCAAGTGACGAAGCCCTCGTCGCGATTCTTCGAATTCGACCACCACTCGTACCCGTACACCGCATAGCCCTGGTCATTGTAGTTCGCATTGTTGATATCCGTGACGGCAGAGATGGCCTGCTGGTACACGCCACCCTTGTACGTGTTAAACTTCGTGATCGAGGTGTCGTATATGGGCGTTACGTCGGACGTGTTGACAAACTCGTATTGGTAATTGTACGGGGCGGTCTGGTAACTCTGCGAGACTTCAGCCTGGAACCGGCTCACGTCGATTTGGGTCTCAAAGATATCAATCTCCGGCACGCCACGGCCGACATTGACCGAGGGACCCGGATGGTCCGAGTTGGGACACGTGCAGGCGGATAGCTTTTGGCCAGGCATGAAGCTAAGTGGGGTCCCGCCCTTGCCTCCGGTGGCAGCCACAGCGGGGTTCCCGCTCTTGTCCGTCTGGTTGGGGAACGTACCGAGGTCGCAGGAGTCGTAACTGTATGGCCACGTTCCCTCAGTTGTAGCGCCATAACCTGCCCGTCCCTGCGTGAGATAATGTCAGATAAGCTTCATCACGAGGAGAATACTAAGACAGACGCACAAGGTTGCCCATAGTCCACGCAGCAGGCCACAGTCCAGGAGCCTGCGGGCTGCCTGGCATGCTGACCGAGACCTCGATATACCCCGTAGTAAAGCACAGCTTGTTCCACGATTGCAGCATGCCGCTCATGAAGTCGAGTTCGTGATTTGGTGTCTCCGTCATCGTGATAACCAGCTTTCCGTTCTGCGTCGTGATTGTTGATGGGTCGTACCACTCGAGATCGACAGTGGGCCAGTAGTGGAGGTCGACCGCCTCCCAGAATGGGTCATCCCCGGGGTAGAACGTGCGGCCATCCTGGTTGAACTCATCGCTGAAGACGAGACTATACGACTTGCCATCGAGCCCTGTTCGTGTGCGCGCAGATTGAGGCGTGTCGGAGTCAATCATGTTTGGGAAGTTCGTGAGTTGGGGTACTTGACCAGACCCGTTCACGCCCCCGAGGTTGAAGCCCGCGATCTTCGGTGATTGGTGGACGTAGTGGTCGATGATGGGGTAGGCAGCGAAGAGCACAATGATACCGCCGCAGATGAGGAAGAGAGCGGAAGCGTTCACCCACCCTCGGGAGGAGAAGGGGGCACAACTGCGGTCTAGGGCAGCGTCTCGGACGGGGTCAGGGTTGTGGAGCGCATCGTCCAAGTCGGGGTCCTTGGTATCCCACATGTACGGGTATTGTTGTACAGTTGCTGTAGTCGCAATGGGTGCTGTTGTGGTTGTTGTCTTCTCGTTCGTAGTGCCGACAGAGGCTTCGGAGGGGGCGTTACTGAACCGCGAGGGCGCGTATGCACGCGACCCATTCGTCATCGTTGGGTCGTACTACCTTGCATGTCAGGGTCTCCGCGTGGTCTTAGAAGCTAGTAAACGTACCGAGTATGGACCATACCCTCCTCCGATATATCCAGTCGCAACACCTTGTGTTGTGTCGTTCTTTTGGCTGAGTTGGCTCGAAGATGCCCGCGGAGGGTTGAAGGATGGCTGTGGCGGTTGTGATACGTACATTCGACTCCCTGTTGGGCTCTGAGGGACGGCATAGTATTGGTTGGACGGCGGAGGGACTCGTCTAGGAGGTGGAGGCATGGTGGTTCGTGGCAAGAAGGCGACGGCCTGCGGACTGACGTCTGAGAATGTGGTGGGAATCTGCGCCACCCGTGTAAGTTCTGACAACTTTATTTGTTACACTAAAGCTGGACAGTCGTAAGCCGGTGGAGGAAGGTACGTCAAACGGAGGGGGAAGCGTGAGTTTAACGGAGGGTGGTGGAACAAGATGGAGGATGAGAAGGAAGCCGGATCTGGGCGTTCACGACGGGGGAGGATTGCCGCGTGGTTCAACACTGTCCGGATCCGGGGGGTTTTGGGATGGCTGTGCTGCCGCTGCGAATCTCTTATCCCGTAATAATCACACCCCATTTCTGGTACCTCCACACTGGGAAGCTAATAGCTCGACCGCACTTTCCAGAGACTTTCCAGTGCTATTCAAAGCACTGGGACGAGCAGCCATACTCTGAGCAGGCGCTAGCTGCGCACTTGACAGGACGCAGCAGTGGCACTACCACGTTCGGTATCGCTTGACGTCATAAAACCCATCGGCATCCCAGCCCAGTGGGATAAACAGACCTCCAATGGCCACGTCGGTCGAGTAAGTTTTCCTCTGCTGGGTCATCGAGCACACAGGACAAATATTGACGTGGACAATCACATCGACGTCTCCGATAATATCCGCTCTACAACCGCGGCTAGACTCTGGGAGCGGTCCGACGAGGCGGAGATGCATGACTTGGACGCCGGAGGTCTTCACACAGCTATATCGATACGCATTCGGTGCTACTAATGGTCACTGCCTTCCGGCAGCAACGCTGTAATGAGATAAGGCGTAGCTATCCCAGCAAGTAAAATCAGGAGTTTCCTGCGGCCGCCATCGACACCGTCGTCGTGAGGATGAGCGAGCGCAGGCTGCAATACAGTGGCGACGTAAAGAAACGTGCCTCCCTGATGAAGTGTTAACGCTGGCTCGCCTCGAGGCTGTGAGAGACCCACCGAGAAAAGGAGCGCCGTGCCCTGCCAGGCCCCGCCGCTTCCGCCGAAAAACGACAGCACAGCGTACGACAGAAGCGTCGCAATAGGTGTCGTCGAGCTAAAGATAGCCAGATGTCGCTTGCATTCGGCAACTGGGAGGGACATGGATAAAAGGGACGTCGTGAGAGCGAGTGCAGTCGGAGCTGAAGAGACAGCAACTTAATCAGGAGGCTATGGGGGCGCAGCGGAGGAACGTAGGTCTCACCTTTGTGGACGACCAGTGCAAGGAAGACCGCGATAAACAACCGTGACGGTCCAGAGTTTTCATCAGTGCCAGACGCAGAGAGCGCTGCTGAACCCATTGCAATCCCGTCTACAAGAGCGTGTACGGCCAATCCGAGGGTGAGTGGATATGCACGTTGACGAAGCTCAATATTTTCCGATCCTGAGTAGAGGTAGGGACGACTTCTTGTATCTGAGGCGATACCTTCGGTTCGCTCAAGCTCACCAAGCTCGGCATCGAATTCTAGGGAGGACGACTCTGCGGGTAACGATGCTTGACCACTCACGCCGCCGAAAGTGGGTGAATGAGAGGAAAACTGGCGTTCAACGACAAGCATAAACGCAAATCCGCTCAGCAGCGAAAGTGCGATAGCCGTTCGAGGGGCATTGGCCTCGATAATGCCAAGCACTCCTCTTCCGGGGAAAGTTAGAAGGGCCTAACCGAAGTGAAGATCAAACGTACTCGGGTATCACTACACCTAGAGCTGCACCGAGGAGCAGTCCAGTACCGTATGTTGTCAAGGAAGCCAGAGTAGACTCTATCGAAGTATGTCAGCAGGTGACATTCAACGACGATAGCTGACCAGCCGAGGTCGCAGCTCAGAACCAGGACGGCAATTGCCGGAGAACTCCCTAGTTCAGTGCATGCAAAGGATTTGCTCTTGCACGGGCGCATACGATTGAGGGTGACTTGTTCACCCATCCGTCTTGTGCTGCTCTACGGCCACGAATAACGCATACACCAAGCGTAAGAGCCCGATGAACTCCGCTTCCATTATCACAGTTGATGTCATCTCGATGCCGTTGTTCCCATAACCTATAGCTTATGAAGGTCGAGGGACATTATTGACGATTCTCCGGACGATGGATTCCGCGAGCATAGGGGTTTTCGGATGCTCGAGTCACATGGTCATGTTCCTGAGCAGACATTCCCTTCTCTATACGCTGCAAATGTCCTACGGGACTGACTGAGAAGAACCACTCACTTGAGAACGTGACGGACAAGGGAAGCATTCCCATCCCAAATGACGCCGCACCCAGCAGGCCAGCTACGAAGACGGCCGAGCTAAGACTCATGGTTCCGCGTCCAAGTTGGTGGTACTGATCTTCTGTGTGCGAGAAAGGATATTTGGCGGCTATGAGGTTCGTCGATTGCAAGAGGGTTTCAGAATGCGTCGTCGAGTGGTAAGTGAGGATGACAAGTTGCAGGCGTGTACGCAGAGCGGTGACATGTGCTGGGGCGTTACAAAACCATAAATCCGGCGGGTAAATAGGGTACAGAAATCGCTGCGAGAGAGTACGTGGACCCAATCAAAGGTCGCGAATGGCGGCCTTTTGGACGCGCCCGCACACGCAGTCTCATCTACTTCACATGACCTACGCGACGCGCAGATGTGTTGCGTTAGCGCCGAGCTTGTCCCTTCAACCTTTACTTCATCTTATCCGCTACTTGACACAGCCCTCGGCCTACTGCCGCCGGCCGCATGCTCCTCTCAACTCTGACCACAAATGTCTTTGCTGCGACCTAGTGTACGTCTGGTCCAACGCTGATATCCCGAAGATCCTACCTCCTTGCTCCCTCAGGGTATCATCGCCTGCCTGCATCTTCACCTTGGTGTCGTCGAGTCATCCTTCTCTTCCTCTGTCTGACTTCTCATTGCTTCTCGGATACTGGCTGCACATGTGTTGCACTCTCATCTCTCATCACATTCAGGGGTGGGCGTATCTTTCCTTGTGAAGCCCCATGCCAAACCTCCAGAACAGTCCAGGAATCCTGAAATCACGCGGCCTCGTCTTCGTAACGACGCGTCTCCTTCTCTCCACCCACGCAATCTTAAAGATATCACAGCGGACTCGATGGTGACATGGAGATTCTCATGAAACGACCATACGGACGAACATCGGCACTGCAAGTCAGAATTCAGCTGCACCTCATATAACTGCACAGCCCGTGTGCACACACCTGCTGCCTGCGGTGAGTTTCGTAGCGAACTGCATGAAATTTCCGTTGATTAGATTGACAGCATGAGGCCGAAGCTCTCAAGCGCATCTTTCCTCCAATCCATTGGCTATGCTACCTCATTGAGTAGTGTCCCTGGTGGTCGTCGGTCATACAGGGTGCGCAACCAATCAACCTTTCCTTCCGACCTTCGACTTCCAGTCTGTCTACGAGTCGGGGTGTATACGGCGGTCTTAGGAGAGGCACGCGGCCATAAACGCGTGTCCGGTTCGAGGTCGACTTGGCAGGTTGATTCGGCTTGCAATGACACCTTGACTGGAGCTCAACGCCTGTCATAGGTAACACCGGCATGGCTTACAATCAGCTCCGTCCCCCTGGATGTACCGTTCAGATGTTCGCTGTAAGGAGTGACGAGGCGGGCCCCATGCATACATGCGATGGCGCTCTATTTCTTACGCACGGGCCACTTTCCCGGCTTCGTCTCTTCTCAGTCGCTCACACCACTTGCCGCCCTGGCCGCCAAGTCTCCGCTCTTGTGGCTCACGGCGGCACTCCAGGCCATGTCCTGTGGACTCACTGCAGCACCTAGAACATTCGCTGCGGCTCGGCGCCCTGCGTCCGAAGCTCGAAGCTCGGCAAGCAGGGCACGTTGCTGCACCGCCTTCCCTTCACAAAGTTCATGAACGCTGGTGCATTTCCGAGGTCAGCGGCGGATCTTGACGCAACTCGTAATGGCAGCTCGAACGCTCGCGGCTTTTTGATGCCACCGGCAGTATAAAGGTGCACTATTACCGCAGGGAAAAACGGACATCGTCTCTACAGTCCTCTTGTCTACCTTACTCCTGTACGCCAGTGGCACTCGACAAATTCAATCTTTCTATCACACGAATTTCATCATGCTCCACTTGTTCATCCTTGCGTTCCTCGTAGCGTCTGCCTTTGCGCAGAGGTGCCAAATCGCCGCACCCGCCGAATGGTCGACGGTCGCTCCAGGAAGCAACATCACCGTTGAAGTCGACAGACCCGTATGCATCCCTAGCTCTCTTCCTACCATCATCTCTTGCTCATCGCGCTCTGCTGCCAGATGACCCTGAGCAGCTCCCAGGAGGTCGCGGTCGTCATCGGCTTCTGGGCGTGTAACGGACCTTGCAACGAGACGGACGTCACCCAGATCATGGGCAACGTCGTCTACAGTGGTCCTTACTCGCCGCAGCTCGTGGACGCGGGCTTCAAGCCACCATACCAAAATTTCACCGTCACCGTCCCCTCGCACTTCGTCCCTGGGCGCGAGGTCAGCCTGAATGTCGCGCACTTCACGCTGATTGGGGTACGTCTTTCTTTCGCATAGGTGATGGGCCACAAAGGAACTGACGCGTGTTTTGCCTTAGGCTGGTCTTGAGCCATTCTTGGAGACGTTGAACATCACCCTCAATATCGGGTCGGCGTGAGATGCCGACTCTGGATGGAGCAGTGAACAAAAGTACTGATTGTTTCGGACGGACCTTGGGCTTCGCCGAAGATTGTGTTACGGACTTGGACATTCGGACTCCTGCTGTGTACTCGATAGCCTCCTAGCTCCATTGTCGTACCGCATCTTCCCGTGGCCACCTCTCGTGTACTATATACGTTGCGCCAGTGTGCCAATGGAGTCAGCTGACGTTTTTCCAATGCCTTGATTCACAAGTAAGAGGAGTCAAGGAAGTAGCGGGGCCCCAGCTGTTGGTCTAATATGCGTCGATGACTGCATGACGGTCGCCGCAGATCCTCGTTGAGCCCGCCTGAGTTTCGGCGTCCGTTTCCCAGTTCGCTGCTACATATGACGTCATATGATCTGCGACGTCCGCCGTCCGAGTCATTATATTGAAAGTTGGACATCGACAAGGTCGGCTCGTTTGGATCTGCCGCCTCGTCTCTCTTTAGAGCCTCTCGGAATGGCCCTCTATAGTACTGGCACATGTCGCGCATACACATCTATAACCAACGCTGCCCAGTCCCTCTGCAAATCCCGATGCCGAACTTCAACCAGCACTCGGTCTGCAGGCCGAACAGGATCAGTACTTGGCCGCTCCAAACGCCTCTCCGCCTCTGCCGACCCCGCCTCGTAGACGCATGCCTCGCCTCACCCCACATCTTCATCTGCCCCACAGACTTCGCGCACCACAATCCCAGTTATTCAGCTCAATATGCATCTCTGAAAGTAGTCGGCCTGCCCGCTCGCACGCTCGGCGCGCACTTCGGCACCACACGTTGTTCTCGCATTGCAATTCGAATGACGTCCCTCGCACGTCTCGAGACACACCGCCCGGTCACGCTGCGGCACGGTTGGAGTGGCTGCACCGCTTACTGTATTCCCCCAGACGACACAGCGGCCGACCATCGCCCCCAAAACCAATATTGTCGTCGGTCACGCTCAGCATCTTGGGTGAGTCAAAGGTTTGTCCGAGTGATTATATAACGACGTTTGTCTGCCGCGTTTCATCTCGCTACTCCACCTGCCTTCCGCCTCGGCCTCTCGACGCGTTCATTGAAGCCATCGTTTACTCTCCCTTCCCCCTGAAGACCGCCACACCATGAAGTCCTTCGTCGCGCTCGCTGCCTTGGCAGCCTCAGCGTTCGCGCAGCGGATCCAGATTGGTGTGCCTGCGAACCTCGCTGAGATCCAGCCAGGAAGCAACATCACAGTCGAGGTTGACCGCCCTGTACGTGCATATCTTCTCCCGCGCCGGCCGACTACGTTCTCATCGGGCCGTGTGAGTAGAACTCCCTTACTGGCTCGACTGAAGTCGCGCTGGCCATCGGCCTCTTCCCTTGCGGCGGCGTGAAGGGCGCAACGAGCTGCTCGTCTATGGACGTCAGCCAGGTCCTCGGCAATGTCGTCTACAACGGCCCGTACAACCCGCAGTACGCCACCGACGCGCCAAGCAAACCACCCCACCAGAACTTCTCCGTCACCGTTCCGTCAACATTCCAGAGCGGGCAGGTCAGTCTGGGCGTCGCGCACTTTTCCTTGGTTGGGGTAAGTCGTCCATTTCATCATATTGCGGACCTGCACTCGAAGTACGAGCGGAATTTTGATCGCTTGTTCTGTCCGACAGGCCGGCCAGTCGCCCTTATATGAGTTCGTGAACGTCACATTGGTCGTCCCCTGATTGGGACCACCGACGACGACAGTGTTCTTCTCACTGCCTCCACCTTATGCCCGTCTGCCCCTCGTACTCAATGCAGCATTTGGTGACAGTTTCCATGACATGCTCTGCTTGTCGTGCAAGCATACCCGGACATTGGACTTGGCGGATTTTCACAGCTGCACTATATTAATCCATCACTATCACTAGTCGACGCTTCTAATACCATCACACTATGATATTTAATAATAGGGGTGTTCAGAGTGCGCGATTTTGAAGCGATTCTCCCAGCGATTCTGCGCCGATTTTGAATATCTGAATCGTGTCTAAATCGCGGCCTACTCTGACCACCCCATACTGAAGGAAGACTTTGGGAACGATTATGGTCTCGATTCTGGGGAGGATTTTGGAGGAGGCAGAATCACGGACAGCAGAATCGCGATTCTGAGAACAAAATCACGTCTAGAATCGGCCTCCAGAATCGTCCCAGAATCGCTCCAGAATCGTGCACTCTAACCATCCCTATTAATCAGTCGAATCGTGTTACTCAGACATAGTCCTAATGCCTCGAGATAGCACATCTGCATTGGACAGATCGATCGACCGCAGCGCAAGTTCGACAATGGATGTGCACACAAGAAGGATTGTCCCAAGTCCAGCAAGAAAAGCGTCGGCAAGTGAGCAAGAAAGCGAAGCTATTGGTGAATGATCCCACTTCAGCGGTCAGATACATGCACGCGTCCACGAGGCGAGCGTCCAGCCGTTCAACTCTGCGTCTTGGGCTCTGCATCCTCCTTTTCCTCTTCCTTGGCAGCCGGATCCTGGTCCTGGTTATCCTGCGCCCTCTTCGCATCCTCCTCCATCGCCTTCTGCACCTGCTGTTCCTGCTCCTCGACCTTCGCCCTCTCATTCGCCGCATCCCCAGCAGCCGCCTCTATAGCGCCCGCGTCGTGCGAGCTCGAGCCTGAGCTGCTCGAGCTGACGCTTGCGGGGCGCAGCACCGGCACCTCCTGCGTCTTTCCCTTCCCCTTCCCCTTGCCTGCAGTCGTTCCCGTGCCCGCGCCCCGCGCCTGGCGTTTCTCCTCCTTACGCTCCTCCTTCCAACGCTTGAGGCGGTCGTCGAACCCGTCCAGTGCACGGACACGGCCGAGCGCGCCGAGGTTGGAGGGTCGAGCGAGAAACGCCTCGAGTACGGGGAGAAGGTCTTTGCGCGGGCGGTACGTGCCCGAGTCGTTGTCAATCACGAGTTCATATGCAGATGGGGGAAGAGAGCTTGGGTCTGCACGATCGTCCTGAGGCTGGGACGCGTGCTCGTCGCTGGGCCCATCGTCCTGGTCAGGATCATCTTCGATGACGCCATGCGTGTCGAGGTGGTGCGCGTCGCCGTTCGTATGACCGTTTGGCTGAGGCTGGCGAGGAGCGTTGGTCTCCCGCATGCGGCGGACGAAGAATTCGCCGCTGTAGGCGATCTCGATGGAGACGTCGGAATGCATCGTATGTTTGCTCAGGAATTGGACCGCGAACTCGTCGCCAGTTTCCTGTAACCGCCGTAGCGTGAGCGAGGTGCCAGAGAACACGAGTACTAGGCCGGTGTGCTCACCGTGAAGCGCCATTGCCCGTCGAGCATGATCACGTAGGTGAAGACCCGACCCTCTGTTCCATACTCAACCAGGTCTAGGAACTTCCTCGCGAACGCCTCGTCAGGCTTCTCGTTGTTTGGCCCCACCTTTCCGGCGAAATGCACGTCATCGCCGCCTTTTCGTCCCTTATCTTCTCCTTCGAGCCCGGGTTGCTCCTCCACGACTCCCCATATGGTGTCCTTGTCCCACTTGTAGATGGCGCTATGTTGCTGGTGGAGAGCGCGGTGCAAGGCCATGCCTTCGATTCCCTTCGCGCGAAACATAGCCTTGACGAAAGGCTTGAAGCCAACGTAGCGATGGCGCAACGCGGATGGAACAGGTCCTATAAGCTGAAGGCGGGTCGCCTTGAACGACTGGACGGAAGCGAGGCGCGCCGCCAGCAGGGAGAAGTGCCGGACGAATATGTCTGATACATGGGGTGTATGAAGGACATGATATCATGACCTTGCTTTGCACAGAAGAAAGTGTACGCACGAGGTCCGAGGGTATATATCCGATTCGCATTGTCTCCCTCGAGACGAGGTGCAGGTCCAAGCACACGCACGCTCACGTAGACCCGCACTTGATGCCGTACGCGTCCTCGGGTGAACATCCTAGCCAAGTATGTGTTCATTCGCGTCCTCAAGCCTCCATGTCGTTTGTGAATCTTATGTTCTCGCTCGCCGGTGTCCCAGCCCTCCCTGAGTACCGAGCCCTCAGATCCTGGGATAGGTATGACGGTTCTGCCCAGCTTGTCGTCGTGGTCGCCTGGGTCCTCGTCCATCAGCCAGAGAGTGAGAGCAAAGCCAGAGGCGGGGATGCCAGAGACGAGCCATCGCGCGTTGGTGAACGTCGGGTTGAGAGTCTTGCGACTTGTCTGTGAGCGGAACGATAGTGATTGCACAGAGGGCGGCCCGGCGTCTCCGGTGAGATTGTGGAGAGGGGTGAGGGTAGCGTTGACATAGGGGTCGGAAGAAAGGTCGTTGAGGTCTGCGACCGGCACGTTAGTCGCGCGGTGGAAGACAATCTCGCAGGTATATCGTGCCTCAGAAGACGAGGACATGCTAGTGATACGGACGAGAAGGGCGCGACGGCGGGCATGCTGACCACCCGACTTTCTGGTTTGGGATATGACGTCATTACTACTGAGCAAGTCTCCGAACTACATGATACGCTCGACTACGTATGGTAAAGATAGCAAACGCAGATGATGAGACCCATTATAACCCGTGTATTATATTGTCCCTCCACTGTGTCAACCAACACCTCGGCAAGCCCCAAGACCCCTTACGCAGTGATCTGGATGACCGTGTTCAAGGTCTCCATCTGAGGCTGGTTACCAGCCTTCGAACAAGGGCCATAAGCATCATAGATGATAAGAGCAACCAGGCTACATACTCCCATATAGAAGAAGTGTGCGACTTGGAGCAAGGCCCTTCCCGCCGCCGTGTTCCGTGGGATCTTCACAGTATAGTTGTGTGAGATATCGGCATGACCCTCAACGGGCTTGGGTGTGTACGGGCCATGGAAGAGAACACGGGCGTAGTTCGCAGCTACGGCGTCGCAGTCGCCGGCAGCACCACAAGGCTGGAGACCAATCATGATAGCAACATCGGTCGAAGGGGTTTGGGTATCCTTCAGAGGGTTCAACGAAGGCATGTAAGTCCGAGTAGCACATCCGACATACCGGGCGGTCGATCTCCACAAGCAGGTTACCTCCCGCCTTCACTTCGGTGTTGGCTGCCGGTGACGCGATGGTAACCTTCTGCCCGACAGCAGAGGCAGCGAGTGCGAGAAAAACGAAGCCGGCCTTCATGACGTGGGAGGGAGCACGATGAGCTTGAGGATGGAGACCGGCTGCAAAGGCAATCCTCGTGTAGCACATCTTATACCTTTGGACGTCGGTTAGTGTGACAGACGGGTATGAGGAAGCATACGCTTCCCGCAACCGCTAGGACGACTCACCTTTGTCGAGCATACATACCCTTCACCTCTGTTTTGATGATGCGCCCATCGCTTGAAGGCGGACGCCGTCCTGCCGTTGTCGCAGCCCGCCATAGATAGCCCGGACACTCTGCGGACGAGACGAGTTTAGGCTGGGTCCATAGCGCGGCTAAGCTGGGGCGTACGTATGCGTATACGAAGACGGTTCAGTGAGGCAGCCTCGGCGGCGTATATTGGAGCCCGTATGGACACACCATGCGCGACAGGTCGACGGGCGATATGAGGCGGGGATAGCAGAACAGCACGTACGTATCGAACGAGTACGTTGGGGATCCGTCAGGGCCTTGAAGGGACTTTGGGATTACCCAATGCTTCCGTTGGTAGTAACGGGCCAAATAAGCTGCATGATCGACGAGGTGTATGCACTCTCACCGTATTGACGTTGCGCAACCCCGCTGACAATTCGAGGGTTTTCTGGTCTCGTCAGTCGACTCGCCCACGGCCACTCACACAGCCGATATCGTAGGATCGGAACAGCGAGGGCAGGCTGAGGCTGACAGGAGATCCCCGCGAGCTTGCGGGCATCTTCAAGCCATACATGTTCATGTGTTCGGGTTCGGGTTCGGAGCTCCCCACCTCATACAACGTCTCATATTGGAGGAGATGTTGGGCGGGTCAGCGAACGTTGATGTTGTTGTCACTGACTCACTAGCCCCGGTCAGAATTGAGCGTATCTCGTAGCCGCCCGTATTTCGTACGTCCGTATTTTGAGTCACGTCACCCAAACCGCCTGAGCGCTTGTCACCTGTACGTCACAACCCGCGCAACGACACTCGTTGGGGCCTTCGCGCACACTAGTGATATGATATCAGACTTTTGTGTACCGCTACTCGCGTTTCTTGCACATTGTTTCAGTGGACTGTATGAACTATCCAGATGTTGGGAGTGTAAGGGGCTCGCGGGTGCAGCAGCACAAGCAAAAGTTCAAGGCGGCTAATCTGACATTACACATTGCCATAGCCACCCAACTTGGGCCCGCTAGTTGAACCACATGAGGGTGACGATAGGAGATATCTTACTGCGGCTGCACCGAGCCCGCGCTAGTAAGGTGCGCGCAAGCAATAACATGGCTCGAAGGAGGCTCGCGACCCCAACAAATTCAGCTCAAGGTGAACCAAAGGGAGTCTCAGACATGACAAAACTGCTCTTGTGGTGAAGTACACTGTGGTTTCCAGAGACGCATAAATATGCAGATGCGCGCGACTTGGCGGCAATGGGGTGTGACAAACTGGTAGTAACAAACGCGCAGGCGGCTTGGGTGACGTGACTCAAAATACGGACGTACGAAATACGGGCGGCTACGAGATACGCTCAATTCTGACCGGGGCTACTGTCAGTTAACATTGGGCGCCTAATATAGAGACGCTTGTGGAGGCTACAAGTTGCCTCTGACTACCACGTTGGGCTGACCCCGAACCAACACGTCCAACATATGCTCATGCACTTTCTCAGACCAAGCTTCCCTGTATAGAACCTTTTGCACCGACGTGATCGTTACGGACGTAAGAGTGGAAGGTGCAATTAATCCAGCATCCGGAACGGTGCACGTGTCGTTTTCGCTGTTACAGGTGACGTCGACTCCGGCCAATCGTCCCCGCCATCTCATTCATTCTGCCAATGTACAGCCTTCTGAATGCTGGGGCCCCTATTCTGTGAAGAGACGAACACAGTTCAGACAGCTCACACGATGAAGGCACTGTTGTCGGCTGGGCTATGGCTTGAAGTTGGAGTGCCTCCAGCCTCTCCACGCCGCGGCCTTGCCGCCCAGCTTGTCAGCTTGTCCTAGACCCTTCGTGCGCTCCGATTCCGATGTCGGTCATATGCATGAGGCCTAACGCTTCTTTTCGGGTAAGTATTTAGTACAGGCTATGGTGATCATCGATCAGGGCTCGACCCCACTCCATCTTCACGAGCGTCCTGTCTCTCCCCATCCACAATCCCCATGAAGTCCGCCCTTATTACCGTTCTCGCGCTTTTGGCCTATGCGTATGCGCAAAGTGTCAAAATTGCTGCCCCAGCAGCAAACTCGCACATAACAACGACCGAGAACGTCGTAATCGAAGTTGAACGACCGGTACGCCTCTGGTCGACTAACTGTGGTGTGTTTGCTGACTCGGCTCCCTACAGAACTCACAGACCCCGTCGAGAGATGTAGCAGTTCTCATTGGGCTACGGTCGTGCCCCAATGGTGACTGCGATTCCGTCGCCGACTCGAGTGCTTTGGGCACGATTCTCTACGGCGGAGCGTATAGCCCGATCCCGCGCACTGGCGGTGGAGCTATGTACGAGAACTATACTGTCCTCATACCCGATAGTGTTGGAACTGGCAGTGCCCTCCTTTCTGTTGCCCACTTTTACGCTGGTGGGGTGAGTACATATGAGCCGTGTTCCAGAGGTGATACCATCCCTAATACTCCAATTGCATAGGTTTTGAACTCGCCTGCCATCGACCAGACCAATATTGTGGTACAAGTCGATTCTGCATAACCTACTGCTCTCAAGGGCGCAGCTTGGACAGACTATGAACTTCGAGGACTTCGTTGTAAATGGGACTTTCGCATACTGTATTGTATTAATGCGTAGTTACTCAGACGGCCATGTTTCGATAGGCCATCCTTACAGTGCTCCCGTTGTCGCTTGATATATCCCGAACATCTGCATTCTCGTCACCTGTGGCGTGTTCATTTGTGGTCTCGTTTACCCATGTAAGATGTACGTATGAGTCCTACTATAGTGATCATCATAGTATACTGATATTGTTACAAAGCGTCCCTGATAGATCGTCCATCTAGTCCGGCAAGCATCGGAAGGAAGTGTCCACCGTGCCTAGTTCTCGATGAAGATGGTTTCATTGAGGACCTCGAGATAAGGCCAGAACAGTTCCTGCGGTGGAGCGGAAAGCATCAGTCACTGTAAGAATCGCACCATCGGCAACTATTGCTCACCCCGACCAAGGCGAAGTGGGCCACTGCAAGCACTGCCGGCCCAAGCTGAAAGTCCCCGGGGACGGTGACCGTAAAGTTCTCGTACTCATTGGTCCCGACAGGTGCCACAGGATGATATGGTCCGGCATAGAGGATGTCACCCATCATCCAGGCTGAGTCTATGTCGTCGCAAGTCCCTGAGGGCGCGCGGTCGACGCAGGAGAGAAGGCCGATGGCGACAGAGACATCACGAGAACCGGTAAGGCTGTCCTGAGGATACCATAAAGATCAGGTCGTGCTGAGGTCCGCGGCGTAGTGGTAAAGGACGTACAGGTCTGTCAACATCGACAATGAAGCTATCGCCTGGTGCAAAAGTGGATTGGGGCGGAGGAGCATTAATGAAGGCATTCTGCGCAGCAGCAAGTGTAAAGAGCAGTGACCATATGAGGGCATAGGCGAGAGTCTTCAACATGCTCTAGGATTTGGTGTTGTCGTGGAGGTATGACTGTGTTTTGATGAGCTTCGAGCTTTGGCACATTTATACGGCCAGGGATTTAAGTTCGCTCGACCGCCCAGATCAAACGACCTTCGGCCGACCAGGGTTAGGCGGAGCCACCAGAGGGCAACAATGGCCGTCAGGCAGTGTAGACTCCGTATATACGCAATGCAATGAGACCGGGAGGCCTAGTTCTCCGGTGTGACCTGGGCACTAGACAGCGCAAGAGCGGCACTAGTCCATGTTACAAACGGAGCGCTATGTCAATTTCACAAACAAATCGATGATAACCGGATACTCAAATCAACGCCGGCACCTTGTGAGAAAGGATCACATGCACGAGACTGTCCGGGAATGTTGTATGTGGGCGTAATGCACGAAGAGCCATTGCAGTAACAGCCATCATCGGCGTTTCCCGCAGCCACCATTTCTTCTGTAGACGCGCATAGCGTCTGTCGATATCCAAACATCAACTTGCGTTGACACCACGTCCTTGATTACCCTGGGTGACTGAAGATGGTACCACAAAGGAACGGAGATAGTATCCGAATTCTCTTAAAAAGTAAGAGTTGGTGCACCCGTCCCCCCTCACACCCTTCAGCCTGCTGCTCATCATGACATGCCGCAGAATTAAGCAGAATCTCCTGTAGAGCTTCAAGGCCTTTTGACAGGGGCCTGATCCTGTTGAGGCGCGTCAAGGAGTGATAGGATTCATGTTTTACTGGTGAGTGCCGTCGCTTCCACACGGTGCACGTGTCCCTGAAGTTGTGGTCCAACAACGCCTTTGGGAGTCCCTCGTTGCCGACAGCTCTGGCTAGGTTCCGAGGCCGCTCATGCTGCTTCAACGTTGGTTGCCAACAACTATCGGATGTCTTTTGCCACTTGCGCGCAGGCTCTTTGGCTGGCTATCGGTCTCGTTTGAAGGTGTACCACCCACCAGCTGAGCAGTCTCATCACAGATCATCTGTAGTAAGTTCCGTAGTATACAACTGTACATTGTACAATCGTGCGCTGTACTGATTGTTCCCCACAGGACTCAAACTCTATCGACATACGATGAAGTGCGATCATGGCTGAATCTCAACGACTTGGTTTACTACCTCGAGGAAAGGCTCTGTCCCCTGGAATCCGAGTTGCGGTCAGTCTTTGATAATGCCCTTGGTGCCTCTATCATTTACGCACTATAATCAAGGCGAAATGCGCCACAGCCAACACCGCCGCACCGGTCTGGATGTTGTCCGGGAGCTGCACGGTGAAGTTCTGCGCGAGGTCTGCGCGCCCATTGCCCACAATCGTGGGGGTGTAAAGCCCGGAGTACAATGGGCGGCCAATGTCCCCCGCTGTATTGACGTTGTCGCAGGATTGGCCACAGGACTGAATTCCTATAGCGATCGCGACTTCTTGCGAACCCGTGAGACTATCCTGCTCGCCAGGCATGCAACGTCAGTTGGAGTACTAGAAGCACCCGGAGAACATCACGTACGGGTCTCTCAACGTCGATCACGAACGTTTCTCCGAGAGTTAATGTCGTGTTGGCAGCTGGGGCTACAATTTTAACCCCTTGTGCCGCCACAGCAGCCACGAAGGAAGCAAGCACAAGTAAGCTATTGCGCATGGTGGGAAATGGCAACTAGAGAGGTGTGGAGGGAGCAGTAGACTTGGTATGTAAGTTGCTGCTGTCTCTGCAGTGGGTGGTCCCTTATATACGCCTGAAAGTATCGCCCAGCCGCAAGAGGTTTCGTGCTACACACTAGCATCTCCCGTACCAAGCGGACGGACCGGTCGCGGGTACGGCAAACCAGGCGCCAGTTTCAAATGATAGCGCCCCCGACTCCACCATACAGTGCTACGCTATGGGGTAGCCGGGACCGGAAGCTTTGACAACCTAGCGTCGCAATCCTCGGCATTGCCGTTAAGAGAGGTTGTTCAGTCCTCGCTCGGTGAGTGTTTTGCACGTGCATGCACAACACGTCTCCGATTTGGAACATGGCTCCTGATCGAGTACGATTCTGCATGTCTCCGATGATCAAAGTCTCAGTCAGGTTATGGACGGCGTAAGTTCACCATTGGAATCCTGATGCATTGTGCTATTTCTCGATACTTACTTGTCGGACCGGGAGCAGGTTTTGTGCACTCCGCCTCTTCGAGTCGGTGATCCTGGGCTGTGCAGAATCTCATTTCACCTGTTGCAGCCCGTTCTTAGTAACCGAATACCGTTCGTTATGCACTCCGTCTCAAGCCAGTAATCTAAACCGCGCAACACAGAGCGCGATGATTGGGTAGGCGGGAAGTATGGCTAGGCGAGAGTGAGCACCCAGTTGGTTGCTATATTGTATCGTGGTCAGAATCGTATCGTTCTCTGGGGACACCCATGCACCTCTCGTCGCTACCGCTGAGATGTTATGCGATCGGCAAACTCGACGATATCCTATTTCAAGGAGGGTACTTTGGGTGATGTGGACATCCCTGCTGAATTGTTGCTCACAAAGCATGGTTCTCAGCAGAGCTTACCTCTCTGATCTATATATTGGAGCGTGGCTAGTCACAGTAGTCCATGATGCGTAGCTAGTAGTTGTCGACTCAAAAATCATCCGCTTGTCCGCGCCGAATACTCCTCTGAACCGCCCGCCTACTGCGCCGCAGTGGGAACTGCATATGTAGTCTGCCAAACCGTGTAGACTTTGTGCAGGCGTAAATAGCGGACTTTGTCAAGACATGGGTTTACGTCCTATATAGGCGAGGCAGAGGCTGCGGCCCGCGGGGGATGCTGTGCCTTCAACGCAAGCGAAGTACCGCGAGTCGACTGCGAGCGATCAATTGATGGACAGGGGGCTGTTCAGATCGGCTTCAGCGGTCTGCGCTGCTTGTCATGCGCATATTTATTTACGGTGAATACAAAAAGTCTCTTGCGTTGCTGTCAACGAATTATCTGGCAGTCCTGTTAGCGTCATCATCTCCCTCCTCTTGCCACGCCCAACCGCAGACGACCACAAAAAAACCCAAGGTGAGCATCGATTGACTCGTCGCGCGGGGTGTATACGTGGCACAGACTGAACCGCATCCCACTTCACGTCCTCCAGACGCACAATTTGAGTGCACCTACAAAAACACGATGATCACCAGCGCGGCAAACGAGCAGCTCCCTCCCATCCAGCGCGACCTCAAAGCCCCGCTCCAGACACAGCCGGCACCCCCTTCGTATGCAGAAACCTGGGTCGCGGACGCCTCGTCGCGCGCAGCCATCCCCGAGCCCGCTCCCTCTCAGTCAGCGCCCACCCCAGGCCCGTCATCTGCGGGAGCCTCTCCATCGCAAGCGACTCCTACTGATGCGCCGCCCGTCCATAGCCCCGACGTCCCCCCCTACGCATCGCACTCGCAGGCGCCATTCGCGCACATCGCGCCCGCGGAACCGCTCCCTGCCTCCTCCCCGCACTCGTATGATCCCAACAACGCGGGCTCGAAGGTCAAAGGCTCCGGCACAGGGAGCAAGTTCGCGAAAGCGATCGGGCAGAGCGCCGTCGCAGTGATCACGATGCCTGTGATCATAGCCGCGGCCGCGCTCTACGGGACGGGCAAGCTGCTCGAGGGCATCGGGAAAGGCTTGAGTGTCGGGCCGGAGGCGCTGTTGAAGGCGTACAAGAAGACGAACGGGAGGCCGGAGGCCATCGTCAACCCGTACGTCGATGGCCAGGGCGGGGTGGGAGATGCGGGTCGGAGGGAGGGTCGTGGGTCTAGGCGGCACAAGAAATAATGCGCGTGGTGCCAGTGAGTGAATCTATCTATTTGTGGTTTGAGGAGCGGACTTGGAGCTATGACGGGCGTCGACTATATGGGCCGCCGAATGGACGTGGTGCTCAACTAGCATATCGCATTTTATTCACATTTGGCAAAGACTGTACAACAGAGACGATCGCATAATCTATGCGCAAATACCAGCGACTGACACATACAGTAGACTACCTCATAATGCATAGGGTTGGTACCCCCATTCCCGTATGCATTATGAGACATCATGCATTTTCAGACGGCCTGTCGAGTGTGAAGCACGGGTTTGGTACCCATCCGGGGCCTCTGCGGCGAAATGCATTATCAGATGACCTCATGCGTTATGAGGTATGTAGTCTACTGTAGGATTCAACTATACATAGCCACACGTCCATTGGTTAGCACCTTGGTCAATCCCGTACGGAATGTGCTTGTATGCAGTCAGTATGCAGTCAAAGCGCGTTCGCATACGGAGCGCTATTTTCGTCACTCGCAACGTGATGGTCGTGTGGTCTGCACGGGGGCCAGATCACGATCCGGAGAGAACGTAGTGCGGTAAGGTAGACGTACTCTGAGGCTACCAGTTGCCGTATACATCGGGGCCAGGTCCGTCATTGACTATATTCGTGAGCGTTCCGGCCCAACATGTTTGTCCGAGGATTTACCTGGTCTCTTCTAGGTCTGCCCGACGTACAATGGAAATTGCAGAGATCGGGCAGCTCTAGGCGCACTTATAGCATGAATTGCGAGAGGTCTAGTGTTTAAACATTTGACCACGGTCGACAGGGGTTCGTGAGAAGAGCGGGCTACTCGTGAGATTCCGCCTTGTCTATCTTGTCCTGCGGAGCCCATCGCGCAGAAGGCAATCCAAGGATACTTACCTCAAGAGCAACGCTGGCAGAGTGAAACGTGTCTCGAAGCCGGGACTACAGTACTAGCACGTACTAATTGTTCGCAGTCGCGGCTGTTTCAGCATGCGTGGCGTGTTTTTCTTGTTCCCCCTAGCGATATTGATGACAATTGCGTGTATCCGTGGACGTCAGCACAAGTAGACGCTTTGCAAACGCCGATCTGAGGTGTGGAGGTACAAAATCCCGGGCGTGGCGCGCCATGGCCACCGGCATGAGGAATGACATCGGAATCGGGGAGAGACGAGACGCTGCTTGCTCAGTGGTCCGGACGTTTGCTCGCTATGCGATCGGAATCGCGACCCGAATTGAATTGAGCCAGAGATGCCCGGATGGCTCGGGGCAGCGAAGAGGCAGCAGGTGCTATAGAACAGGCTCCTTGCAGCTGAGGAGTGGGTAGATCGGGGAGAGAAGGCCGGCCGAGAAAGACCAGTCGGGTGGGTCTGCCGAGAGCGTGCTCGAGAAGGCTGGAGAAGAACGTTGCGAGGAGGGGGCGTGGGTGGGGCGTGGGTGCTAAAATGAGCGTGCACGCTGCGTGCGTACGTGAGGCGGGGGATCGACGAGGACGACTCCTGTCAGGACCGACACAGTCCATGCTGGTTGAACGTCGGGAGCGGGATAGAACGGTGTTCACGACGGGGGGGATATGGCGGTCGGGGGCGGTGCGCGGTCGGGTCCCCAAAAGAGGAGCGAGAGGAGCATATGACCACCAGGTCTGGAGCGAGTGTGCATCAAATAGGACATTCGCCAGTTTTCGCCTTGTGCTCTTCACGCTCATCGTCTACAACAGGTACAGACATGGCCGCCGACTTCACGCTGTACGCGCGACAGGCTCCTACTGGTGAGTGCTGCAGTCAACCTCGAGTCTGTTCTGGCCGTTGTTTGGGCTCCTATCGGCCGCAGGCGCGGCAGGAGGCCGATAAGCCGGGAGATTGGAGAACGACGCCGTCTCGTGTGCACGTACGCGAGCAATGACGCTCTGTCCTATCCGCTCCTCCCTCTCCCGCCCCTCCCGTTCGTCTATCCATATTTTCTCTGCTATCTGCCTGTTCTCTTCCCTCGACGACCATGTCATCGTCTCCGGCTGCTGGAGACCCGTCGGCCTCTGCGGCCTCGTCTCCGCCTCCCGCCGCCTCTAGCTCAACGAGTCCGTCCTCCTCTACTTCCCCCTCTCATCCCTCCACATCTTCGTCTGCATTCAGTAGTTCAAGTGCTGATCCCCCTCCCTCTACTTCATCAGATTCCTCAGTTGTCACCTCGCCTCCAGCATCCTCTCCGACAGACACTACCACGACCACTCCACCTCCGTCGGATACGTCTACTTCGACTTCGACCTCCACTTCCACGCCTACCTCCACCACTCCTACTGACACCGGTTTCTCAAGTGCCACTACTCCCCCGCCCTCAAGCATCTCTACGACATCCAATACATCCGGGACAGCGACAGACACCTCTGCATCTACGGGTTCCGCCACTGCCTCTCTACCTTCAAGCTCGTCAAGCTCGCCAAGCTCGCCGTCGTCGTCTTCGCAGACTACGTCCACAGCCACTCAGACGAGCACAATCATGTAAGCGTCGCCTCAGCTTGTATATAGGTCTCCGCTCACGTTCGGGCAGTGGGACGCTTCCTGACGGCCAGGTATATACGTCTGTTGTGACCACCACCCTCTTGACCACGCCCACCATCAGCGCATCGACCGGTAACTCCCACTCGTCCTCGTCACATACCGGAGCGATCGTCGGAGGTGTAGTCGGTGGAATCGCAGGTCTCGCCATCCTCGCAACGCTCGCTTACTTCCTCTTGAGGCGGCGCCGTGACAAGGACGACTTCGACGGAAACTTCGACCCAGACCGCGTCGTTGGCCTCTCGGGCAACAACCATGGCACTCTTCCGGACATAGACCTAGGTGCGGACAACATCACGCCATACAACTACACGCCCGGCCAGCCTCAGAACGGTGTGTCTGCGTCTCTTCCTGCCGGCGGCCCTGGCGCAGCGGATATGCGCCAATACGGCCCTTCATTCCTCGCGGGGGCAGGCGGTGTCGCGGCCGGTGCAGCCTTGTCGAATGCGGGGCGCTCGAGCACACCCTCGCATTACTCAACGTCCCAGCCCGCTCAGTCGCAATACGGCGCCGGCCCGCAATCGACGTCTGACCACGGCTACCCCGAGTACGCGGCATACGCTGCGTATGCGAACCCGTATGCTCACGGCACATCGCCGACGACGAGTCCGACGTCCACTTCTTTCGGTCCCCAGGTCGCCGCCGTTCCCGGGCGCGACTTCAGGCATCCGTCCCCAGGCCCATCGCTCGGCCCGACCGACGTGTCTGCGTCTGGGTCGTCCAGCGGGCCAGGCGTCATCCCGAGCGCGAAGGAGCGCGAGGCTCTGGCTCGTCGTGGCAACTTGTCTCTCGCGAATCCCGACGGCACCTCTGGGGTCGTGCAGCATCAGGACGGCGGCCGGCTAGACGCCACACCGGAGGATGAGGAGGAGCCGAGCGAGGTGCCTCCCCGATACGACACGATCCCGCACGACCGGTGAGGTGCGCCGCGGAGCGTGTGCGTGGGCGGTTGGGTGGGGCAGGGGATGTGGAGCTAGAGGGAAGCATGGATCCCACGCAGTCGCGTGGAGTATAGATGCGTCGTTTTGATGCGTTTACTATTCATGGACTGTTGCACGTTCGTTCAGCAAAGACTCGAGCTTCAAGTATCAAGGACTCTCAACCCTCGGAGGACGACTAGCAGGCCTTCGCCGGCGGCAGGTGGAAGCGCACAACTGACTGTCTCTGTCTGTTCGCCACTCGCCGCCGCCTTCACCTGCTGCGGCGTACGCGCTACCGTTCTGTGGCGGAACTGCGGACCTGAAGGCGGTCGAACGTGTCTTCTGGGCCGAACGCGTGGAGCCTGTCGTCTTCCCCGGCCCATGCTGTTCAGCGCAGGCGTATCACGGCGCCGCGTCCTGTCGGCTCTTGTGCGGGTACGCGTGCTCATTATTTCCGCTTTCATTCTCTTCTAAGCCTGCTTCCGCATAACGACATAGCGCGTGCTACTTCCTTCTCCCTTCACTGACGTTCTCTTCGTTGCCGTCACTACCCTCCAATAATCCCTGCTACTCACGACTGCACATGTTAGATACCGTGCTTCGTCGCTGTCGATCGTCGCCACCTCTTCCTCGCCTCCTACCGCCGACGAAGTGCACTCCTTCCCCTCCTTCCCCCTACCTACACGATACCTTAGCGTCCCTGTCGCCTACTTGCCATAGTCCATTTACCCTGTCCACGACCCTCACGTTCCACGTACTTATCACCGACCGCATACAGTCCAAGGACTATTCTTGTATCTGTTGCTTCGCTGTATTTTACCTATTGCTTGCAGACGCTGTGAAGCGTCCAAAAGACACGACATCGATGAATCACACAGCACTCTTTGCACTCAGTCCCCCGGTGTCGGTCGGACGAGGGCGACCGCGCCTGACAGTGGTCTGACTTTGTGCGCCCGATCAGTGGTTTTTGGGTTGGAATGTATGGGGTGTGGCGCTGGTCAGAGTCTGCGTACCTGACGGAGAGGCACTTGTGCATTCTAGCGTACAAGGTTACCGTAGAGATACCCCGAACGAGACGATCGCCGTCGTCCCGAGGGCGCGCGAAGCTCTCCATCGTGCCTTCGGCCCACGGTCCGGGGCGCTCTCGTCTCTCGGGGACGTTACGACGTCCAGGGCTACTTACAGTAGCTCTCCAAGGCCCTCTTCCGAAGCCATGGCGACTAGCCAGCAACTGGCCTCCTCCGCCGAGCCCAAGAGCCCGGGAGCCAGGCTGACCATAGACCCCCTCCCGCACTATCCGGACATCGTCCTCGCGCTCAACGTGATCGAGACCAGTCCGCCCAAGTTCCACTGGTACTTCTTCGTGCCCGACGCCGGGGACGCGCACCTGGACGTCCAGGCCGGGCTCAAGATGCACGCCACGACGGACTTCAGCCCGAGCCCAGCCGAGCGGACGTGGTGCTTCGACGCGGAGCGGACTACGCTCGCGACGGACGAGGGCGGGCTGGCGGCTGCGGCCGTGGTTGGCCGCCTTACCGGTGCTACTGCCAGTCAGGTCGACGGCGAGGGGGAAAGCGGCACCCAGGGTGCGCTCCGCGACCTGCTCGCGCGCATACCGATGTCTGTCCCTGATGCGGACAGGGCGCGCGAGCCGGTGTTTACGTGCCGCGTGTGGGCGCGCGAGGCGTTGCGGAGGATGCACGGGGCGGGATACGTGCGCTGCCCGGACGTGGACGCGGTGGAAGAGGAGATGTGGGGATATGGACGAGCTGCTGCGCGCGCGATCGAGGATGAGACGTTTGCGTTTGCTTCTTTGGTGCAGTCGCTCTCCAGTCGAGCTGCTTAGCCACATTGGTACTACGTCCCGCCCGCAGGAATAATCCCGCTCCCGTGTAGATTAGAACAGTTAGCAGGTTGATGGAATATATGTACTGGAGCATGAAGCATGCATGGGTACCATCAAGGAGCGCGAGTCCGAAAGTCCTGTCCTATCCAGCAAATGTCTAGCTGAACTGGTAATGTGATGGTGAGGGGAGTGCAGCGAGTACTGCTGGAGGGAGGATGGTCGTAGCAAAATGTAGGTCGTAACGGGTCGTATCAAGCACGCGCGGGCGACAATGCCAGTGTTCGGCATCTCGTGATGTTGTGATAGCTAACTATGGGTGGCCTTGGTGAAGTCATCGTACGGTGAAACCAAGCAAGGATAGCGAAAGCACGAACAATCCATCCACATAAATAGTCTGTAGTCCGGAGCGAATATCCATCCCTCGCATCCCCGAACCCAGCAACCTCTCCCTATAACTCCTGAGTGCGATAAGCATAAGCTGAACGAAGAATCTAGGTCCCGCAGAGTCGCCACATCCGTCCACTCTACCTTGTCCGTGTTCACAGCCAGAGCCAGGGACCTCACAAAGCCTCACCAACATCGTGCCCATCGCTCGTCACTTCCGTCAGATCCACAGCCCTCTCCTCGTCGATGCTGGGCCTCGTCGCCTTCTTCGGCGAACGCTGCAGCCAATTACGCGACTGCGTTGTCGGGGTCGTCACCGTGGGCGACGTCGTCTGCCCGAGCGCCTGCTGCTGCGACTGCGTGAAGGTCGGCGAATGCGAGATCGTCGACGATGGCGACAGCGGGCCCATGTTCGTTACGAACAGCGGTCCCATGCTAGGCGGGGGCATCGGCGAGCCAGGGGTCTCAGGGACCGAGATGGGCCTCCGAGACTCGAAGAAGCCAGGCGTGCTCGTGTTCGCTTTCGAGAGGAGCGGCGTCTCGCTCGTCTCGCGCGAGTGCGTCTGGAGGTTCGAGAGCGACGCGAAGGGGTCGTCCCCGATGAGCGACGTCGTGCTCCCGCTCGCGCTCCCCGTGTGCGCCCCCTGCCGCTGGCGGAACGCGCTAGGGGGATGCGCCTGGGAAGAGGCCGTCGGGCTGGGGCCCATGACGTCGTCGATGATCTTGCTCAGGTCGACCGAGGACGCGGCCTTGAGGGGGTCGACGAAGTTGCTGGTCTGGCCTGGGGGCGGCCACACAGCCTCGCGGAAGATGGACCCGGTCTCGGCGCGCATGCCTAGGAGGTGGGGCACCGCGGCTCCGGGTGGGAGGCCGCCTGTGTTGGGCGTGGGCGCGCGGTGCGGGTCCATAGGTGCGGCCATGAGCGAGGGCCCGGGAGAGGGCGCATTGAAGTCGCGCGCGAGTGGAGACCGGCCTGGGCTTTCGTTCGTGATGGAGCGGGAGTGCTCCGAGGCGACGGAAACCGGATAGTCGCGGTAGCGCGCCATGGGGGTGCCCAAGTCGTAGTCGTCGATGTCCTCGCCGTCGAGCAGACCCGTGCGAGGCTTAGGCTGCATGCGCTTGAAGAAGGATGACTTCTTCGACTGGTGTCGGCGATAAAAGAGGAAAATGGCGCCGACTAGGATGAGAAAGGCTGCTCCGCCTACTGTGCCGGCGATGATGTCCCGCGTCGTAGCCGTGGTACTAGAGCTGCCATCGTCGGACGATAGAGTGGT